TAAATACATTAAAAAAAATTTAAAAAAATCATAAGCTGCATTATTTTGTTAAAATGATAAAATGATAAGGTAAAAGAGAGAGAGAGAGACAAAAAAAAAAGAAAGAAAGAGAGAGGGGCAGAGAGGGGAAAAGAAAGAGAGAGAGAGAGAGAGAGCAAGCAAGAGAGAAAGAGGGAATGAATAATGTTCTTTATACAGGGGCATTGATTTACATTAGTTTTTCATTGAAGGGACCAAAAAGAAATTTAATTCTGCAGAGAAGAGATTGGAGGGAACAGAGCCAATTTTTTAAGTGTCATTTAATTCATTTCAAAGAATTTCAAAGAATTTCTTCTTGTAATACACTTTAAATGGTACAGGTTATTCAATGTACAATACTGTCATCTTTGGAAGTTAATGCAACAAGAAGAAATAAAGGACTAAGAGACATTATTGAAAACACCAACTTCATAATAAGAATAGTACCCAGTGCAAAGTGTGTGAAAATATTCATATACTGAGTCGTTTTTATCGACAAAGGTCGTTAAAGCAGAAAGTCCAAATTTGTATAAGGGGGAAATTGCTACATAGAAACGAACTACAATAAGACAATCATTTAAAATCTTATCGGTAATGATAAGGGGATGGTCCTTTTTGCATACATGTTACTGTTTGTTGTCATTTTTTTACTTTGCAAATTTGTGTATGAATCAAAGGTAACATGTTCGGTTTCGTTTTGAAGGATAGTAATTCCGAAGGTTCGTATTTGAAAAATGAATAGCCGTAAAATTAAATAGAACTTTGTGTCATTTTCGAATTTTACAAGCCTTCAGAAGAATGAATCATTTTTTCTCGGAATAATGAACCCTTTTTTCTACGAACCTTCAGAATAACGAAACCTCGCAGTAAAAAAAAACATGTTCAGAATTAAGAACCTTTTCCAATTTTTGAATTATGAATTACACTGTCGCTCATAAAGTTGGAATGTTTTTGTTTTACCCCAATTTATGGAATTATTAAATACACATGCTTTAGCAGTCACGCAAAACACACATTGTCAAATTATTTTTCAATACAATCTGAGAATGTATAATATTATTAGATCTATTATTTTTAAATTATTTTTTAAAATAATTCCAGGAATTGGTGTAAAACAAAAATATTCGAACTATATGAGCGACAGTGTATATAGTATAGGAAATTGGTGTCCCGGAATTATGAACCTTCGGGGAAAAAACCCATCGATAAACGAGTCATTTAATTATCTTTTTTAATAACTTTTATATTAAATATAACATTTATATACTTTTTATTTTATATGAGTTTTATCATTTGTCATTATTTTTAAGTCAGTAGCGTGATTTTTGTTTGTTTGTATCGATACATTACCATAGCATTAATCTCACGTGTCTCTTATTGAAGCAGTGGCGAAGCGGGAATAAACATAAAGAGAATTTGCATGGAACTTGCACTTGCACGGTGGTCTCTTGTAAATGATAAAGGCATGATTCATGATGATTAGGGGAGGGAGTGTGGAAGGGCCGTAGTGTTTTCATTTAACGTTCACCCCTTCCCCTCTCTCTCTTAAAAAAAAAAAATCGCCTTTTGATTGTGCGCGTTGCCACCAGACCACGACTACTCAAAACCATTTATCTTGATCAATATTTATCCATTCCACCCCTTTAAGATTTGGCTGAATACAGTGACGATATTTGCCCCATGCCATTTTCATATTATGCAAACAATAAATTCTCGTTGACATAGATTTTATGACGTCAACTAGATAAAGCAATCTAAAGATTATGTGATCTAGTTAGTGTTTACCTTTAAACAAAGTCACTAGATCGGTACCGATAGTACACAGCATACTATGGCAATCACAATATCCGGGTTCACAAGTTCTATCTATATCGATAATATCTCTAACCAGAGATATGCATTTTTGTTTTTGCCTTGATCAATAATACAATTCTTTTAATAGTGTGTACAATCATTTTAAGCATCATTTTACGCACCATGCGGACGCGCTCGTGGTCACGAAACTGTAAGTTTACTCGTCATAAACCACGAGCGTTATCAGGTGAGCGCAAAAAAAAAAGGGTAGCGGGGATCCTCACTTAAAGGGATAGTTGAGTTCTGTTGCAGAGGGCGCTACACAAAATATTTGTTTAATGAGATAATGAAAAACTGAGTGTCAAATTTGAAGGAACATACAATTTTAATAACAAAATCAATTTTTTGTTAAATCAAAATCGGTTCAGATACGGCTGAAATATCCATAAATATAACGATTTCTAATACTGTCTATTAGATCATTTGAAAAAAACGTTGAAAAAACGAAATGGCATCTTTTACGTTGTATTTCAGCCCGTGCCGATGTTGGCTTTTTGTCGGCATTTTCTTGTTGTTTATATTACGCACAACCAGCCGCCCATGTATTGTCATTTTTAATTAAATAATTAATTAACGGTCACCGTATTTTTTGGAAAGTGGAGCTGAATTGGTATGATCGTATAAGCTAAATTTCACACATTTTGGGGTCTAAAATTACCATAGCAGTTTTAGGTTCTAAAAGGGCACTAGAAATGTCATAGATAGGAATATGAGCAATAACCATGCACTTTGAAGGCATTTGCGGTCTGAAAACAGAACTCAACTATCCCTTTACGCCAGCTTGTAGTTTAAATGACTGCTTGACCGGCTTGTAGATTAAACTTTGAATACTTTTTGTTTCTGTCACGTGCGAACGGTCGTTAATGGATCGCTATTTATGACATCGTATTTTCTCTAACTTACAGTTTAAGTTAAACTTAATGTTCACACGATCTCATGTGAATAAAGCTAAAATGATGGTCAGACACATTATATCTTCAGTGATTTGGGGCAATAATCACCCATTTTCTGTAGATGGTTGAACATTGTTAGAGGTCATACACTTTGCGTGACCTTTAATGATGCCCAAATCATTAATCGATTACAATTAATGAGTTGCATAATCTACCCTATTTACACTTCACTTTCACCTTCATCAGAATTCAAGCCAACGCTATCACGGTCGTGTGATAAAGCTCAATTAAAAATACACCCCTTTAACAAATCCTGAGTACGCCACTGACTACCACCATCAGCACATACCATCACATGGCGCTACACATTCTCCCACACTGGTTGCGACACTTTCACCTATCGCGTGCTCCTTTAACAAAACCCCAACCACCACATACACCCGTCATACACACACAATCATCATGCGCACACATTGTCCCAACCTTCACCGATCCAAAAATAATTGGCTTTTAATAGATGCATACAAACAAGAGAAACAGAGCAAACAAAAAGTGAGTAAAATTTGATCACTAATAAGTATGAAAAAGTATGGAACGATGGATATCACTACACAAATTGCCAATTTGGTTATCAATTTGTGACATCATTGTCTCACTATTTATCAATTGCTTTATACATTTTTATCCCATTAATTTCCCTTTGTTATCCAAAATTATCCCATGCCTTTGCCCAGGTTATATGATTTGTATCATATTGCGTGTATGACATTTCACAAATTCTTTTTTTGAACTTTGAAAAATTGATACTATTTTCTAAATATTGTATATTAAAAATCGTTGATTTGTATATACATAGTTAATAAAAATTCACATTTTTCTGGATTTTATTGAAAAAACTACTCTATATTAGTGCATCCACATTAGTAATATTGCTATCAATATGAATTGGATGGTGGTGTGAGGAAATTACATTATTAGGGTGAAATGGGAAATTTATGTTATCAATATAAACAAAATAATTAGTGAATAGTGAGGCAATGAGTTCACAGACTAATGAGTGAGTTGTCAATTTGTCTTTAGTGTGATTTTCAAAGTTTTTCATGTCATTAAAAATTCATAATTTTCTTATTACTTATTCAATTTTGCTCAAACCTTTTGGATAAATGATAAAGCAAGAGAGAGAGAAATAAAGATAAAGGAACAGCTAGAGAGGGGAAAAGACAGAAAGAAAGAGAGAGAAAGAAAGAGAGAGAGAGAGTGAGCGCAAGTGAGAGAGAAAAAGGGAATAAATAACGTTTTTACAGGGGCATTGATTCACATTACTTTTTCATTGAAGGGACCAAAAAGAAATTTAATTCTGCAGAGATGAGGAGGGAGAGAACAAGGCCATTTTTTGAATGACATTAAAATCATTTCAAAACATTTTTTGGGGGGAATACACTTTAGATGATTTAGGTTATTTAATGTATTTATAAGCATAAGCCGTTGCATCAGAAAGTTCAAATTTGTATGAGGGAAAAAAGGCTGCACAGGAATGAACTAAAATACTGCTGTCAATTTTCTACTTTGCAAAGAGTTCTTCGTAATATTTAACGTCCATGGTGTAGTATTTACTTATTAACTATAAAGCGATAAGGCACTAGTCAGGGCAATAGACCGTGTGCCCATAAACCTGCCGTGCTTATCACAATATTTATATCATCTGCAACCATCGTATAAACTCCTCTCTATAATTAAAATTGATTTAACAACAATTGAAACAAACTATGTTATGGAATATTTTGTGACATAACATTACCCTACCAAAGGATTAAAAACAAAAACTAAATAAGTTCATGAATAATAAAGGACGTGGTGTTGTCAAAAATTTAAAATCGTGTTTACTCGACATTCTACCAGCATCATACATGTGGTAGTCAAATAGTAAAATGCATCAATATGTATAAAAACATTTCGTAAGAAAAAAATAAGGTAGAAAAAACACAAAATATTATTTCGACAGTTGCTGATATCTAGCAACTACAAACACGTCTTCTGCTGGGTAACAATTATGCCGAATAGGTCATCATTATATTCCCCGAGTTAAAAAAAGCAGATTACGTCATGACTTTAGGCCTGCGCATGTTTAATCGCGTCGTGCAAATTTCAGTTTGAGGAAGTAAAGTTGGAAAATAACTTTAGAGCTCATTTTTAAAATACATTTCATGAAGTCAAGGTCTTTTTAGGGTGCCTTAGTATAAGGGAAGCAAACAGAAGGGTAGTAAAGTAATAATCATTCAACAATCAAGAGTTCACCAAGATCATCGTCGTGACGGCAAGCTTCCAAACAAGTCTGTAGTAATCACCAGCTTGGCCAACTGTCAGATAGTATCTACCAGGGGAGTATGTCAGAGAAGGAGAGGTGAGTCAAATAATGCAGCTCATTAGCTCTTGGTTAGCATGAGAAATCTAATACCCTCTGATTGCAGACTTGAATTTTGATGATATTTGCCGTATTCATGGAGGATTATCAATAGTGGTTTTGACTTAAGCGCGGGACTTAATTTCTGTTTTGATTTACACATTTAGCAACACCTTTTGTATGTTTTGGATATTTTGTGTTTATTTGTCTAACTCTAGAATTAGAAAAGTATAAGGGAGAGTGGGAAGGAGAACGAGAGAGAAAGAGAGAGAGAGAGAGAGAGAGAGAGAGAGAGGGTGTATATACATTTTGAATTCCTCTTGTAAATGTATACAACACAAACATTTGTTTGAAATTAGTTTTTTTCGCTACCAAACTCATCAATTGAAACGCTGATAAATAAGCATCGTCCACTTTAAATGGTAATGGTATGAATTTAATGGTATTGAATTGAAATAAGCAAAAGCTCACCATGTAATATTAGAATTTGTTTATAGTCAAAACGATGATTTAGCCGGAGTTGTTGTTGTTTTTGCACATGAACGTTAAAAGATACTTGTACAAAGTAATTCCTAGAAGCGTTCTCGCACATTTTTAGACGAGACTACATCCATGACCACTGCTTCTCAAAAAGAGATAGAGAGCGAAAATGAAAATATAGCACATTAGTTTATACTTAAAGCGAACTTTAAGATTATTAATCATTAACCTTCTGTATTATCATACTGTATTGAAAACACAAACAGAAACAAACGGAATGATTTTCTCTTTTTTTTCCCCCAGAAGGAGTAAAGATTACTTAGTAATTTGTTGTTGTTCATGTGACGATATATGATTTATTTGTGCAGTCCTGTAAGAGCTAGTGTTTCATATGGGATAGCAAAATTTCATTATATTGTACCATTTTCTATTTAGCTTAATAAAATACAGAATGGCAATTTGATTATAAAACATGCATGCACATGTAATTCTACATTGTGGAATAACAGCAATAATGTCTGCAGTAAATTCATCAATGCGACTATAAACGTATATTTTTTCTTTACAAGTAAAGAAATACTCAATTCAAAGCCTCACTGTCATACTTGTAGCTACTTGCTGCCTCTATATAGAAAACTTCGCCAATCGGTGCCTGTTGGTCCCCCATGATTCTCTTTTTCTTATGTTAGTTGAGAGCTGAGTTAATGAGATAGCCACCTGTCAGTGACCTCGTTGTGTGGTCTAATCCCTTCTGGCCCAGTAGTATTGACGGTCTTTAAAGAAAACGAAACAGTGGCAATATAAACTCTCAATTTTAAAATTTCTGCATGTACTTTGTTGACAGCATCGTACGGTCTAGACTGTCCTATGTGCAATGCAAAATCCAACATACACACACACACACCCACGCACACACAAACACTCGCATAGATCATAATGGTACAAAGGTCACTGCATATGTGTTTGGAAGTATTATTGAAAAGGACTGTTTGATTTGGGGTCTCATGCAAAGGGGTGTATCCCAAGCTTATTACATCTTTTGGATAACAAAGAAGAAGAAAAAGAATAATAATAATGAAATGACAAAGGATATTACTTATCAGATAATAAAGATATACTGATAATAATGATAATAATAATAATAATAACGATGATGATGATAATAAGAATGAGAATGGTGATAACAGTTAAAATAATAACTATATTGATGATAATGATAAAATCGTGTGTCTGATTAGCTCCGGCATAGCCTTGGGGCTCATGACCTCAACAATACTTGTTTGTAGTACAAAGGAGGAACATATATCCTTTATTATGGAGTCAGGTGAATCTGTTATCAAACAATTTTGTTCTGGTCAGGTGTTTTATATTATTTTTCCTTTAACAAATATATTTCTATAGATGTGACGAGGAGGAAGAGACATTAATCATGATAATTAAAAACATTTATCAGAAAAGTTAGTTAATATCGTGATGGCGAACATCGGCACTGTCTTCTTACTTTCCAAATGTATCGTGGAAAAATATTTGAGTAATCCATACAATCAACATTGAATTGATATTATTAAAAAGAGGAATTAAGGTAACTTAAAGTCTGCATTCCAGATGAAATACATGGTGACATGGTAAAAATGAAAACAAATCCAGTTATTTGAAGTTTGCGTTAATAAGAACCAAAAAAATACGTAGTTTACAATACCGTATTTTTTGTAATTTTATCACAAGGCATATGCAAAGGAAGGTGTGGCAAAATGTTACTCAATCATTGAAAGAATTCAAAGAAAATAATACATGCCCTTATCTTGAATATTTAATATTGTCATGATTGTTGTGATATTTTTAACATGTGTCCGCCTGAAAATCAGAACTAGTCACGTGATAGACTCGTTTGACATGTCTGACGTTTATGAAACAAAAGAATCGAAATAAAAACTATTTTATATCGTGGGAATCTTTTATCAGACAACCAAATTTCTAACACCCTCGATCTCTGGCTCTACTAGTCCAAAATAAAAAGTATCTCGGTGAAATAGACCAGATAAATTTGCATAACCATCTGCAATAATAGTCATCTAATATGACAGCAATTTCGCTTTAAAATCTTATAATGTTCAACAAGTCAGCACTTCGAATCTCTATCACTCCTTTACTTTTTCCGATTCCTCTAAGCAGAAAAAGAGAAGTAGAGAATAATCAAGAATATAAATAAAGAATAATACATGGATTGTTATCGTCGATACATATCACAAATGTCGTTATTTATTGATTTGTACATTTTAGTCTCAATAATATTCGAAGGGTGTGTGGGATGATGGGTTTAGTTTCCTAAAGTACTTCTATAGGAACAAAAAACAAACTTAAATCACTGTTGAAACAAAAAAAAAGTAGCTGTCCTGTGTGTCAAATATCGTGAGACCGACAGGAAATAGATTGACAGACAATTAGCTTTTGAAACTTCTGATATCTCGAATGCACAGTTTTGATGACGAAAGAAAACTAATTATCTTTTGTTTGGGTATTTCCAGTGCTGTATAGCCCACTAGTTCAGAGAATTATTGATATCGTTGTTTTAGGATAATAAAGTTATGATAAGGATCATTATAACAAATAACTGGAATCATGATGAAATGTGCATCTAGGGAGGTTTGTTTTCACATGAAAATATATATTGCTCATAATGAACTCAGCTAATTGAAACATAATAATCAAATAAAAGTTTGGAGACCCCCCCCCCCCCCCGGAAAATTGCAATTCAATTACACCATTAATTGTTTTAAACTTGTTTTCTTCTTCAAAATTGATTTAAAGAGTATTTGGGATTTCCCTTTTTAACCCCAAAATCTCTTTCTTCTTTTATTTATTCTGAGGAAATGTGCGCGGGCGATACCTTTGACAACAAAGTTCGACATTCCTCGCCTCAATAGCTCTCAGATTGAGTGCTATTCAAACAATCGAATTGTTGGGGTTTTTTAACCTTTGATTGCGCAATAATGACTACCTAATGTGATATCATTGTCATATATAGATAAAGAAGAACATGTTCTGCAGCGGAGTAAAAAGTTTTAAAGAGACTCAAAACAAAATTGACAAAACGCGCGGTTAACAATGTAAAGGTGTCACAAATTTTTCGCCTATTGGGCTTCTTCAAGTAAATAGAAATTTGTCACAATTTTCGATGTAATCGAATTTTTTAATGACATTTTTGTTTAAGTCTATTAGTATAGACATGCATATCCAATAATATCTGTTTATCAAACATGAATGGTAAAACTCGCAACTCGGATACTTAGCCTATTGTAAAATGGAATGGACACCATGCAAGAAACATGAGTGTTATTAGCCTCTCGGAAACGCTCTGACCCGGCTAAGAAGATGTTATATACATATCCTTTTGCAAGGCATTAATCTACATTTGCCGCTATATATTCAGGAGAGAAATCAGAACCTGGTAGGATGACGAAAGCCTTTGTGTTAGTAATTGCTATATGCCTTCACGGTGACCGTATGGTAGAAATGCAGCCCGAAATATAAGGCGGTCAGTTCCATCGACGAACATAACTGACACGGCCTTCTCGTGGTAGGAGACGACTTTATGGAACGTCAAACAAATTAAATAATTGGAATGTTCTCTATATCAAGACCCCTTTAATGTAAAAAGAAATAGATTATATTCCGTCAAAAAGTATAATAATTACAGATAATGAAGAAGTATCGAAATGTTTTTGTCTTTCAGAACCATGTCTGGGACAACAAAATCACACATGTTTTTGCACAAGGCAGGGGGGTTCCTAAAGGTAAGAGATGTCCAGACGTCGTCAAATAGAATAAGTCATTGCATTTTCTTATCACATCAATAAATGTTGAATATATTGATACCCTGAAACAAAACTGGAGTTAACAAAGAGAACTTTGATCAGAAACAGATAGAAATTATCTGTTCCTTGTTGTTGACGCAATTTAGTAGAGTTATTTTCATAATGAATACATGTAGAGCCATTATGTTATGGAGGGTTAGTATTGTAGCATACTCGGGGATGTTTCCCGAAACCATCATACGTCTTAACTTCTTGGACATCTCATTGAAATGTGTGTTAAACACGCTCTTCTACGTGATGTCCACGAATCTAGACTTATGCCGGTTTCGAGAAACTGGCCCCTGAATTTCAAGTAAACACCACCAAGGAGATATTGTTGATTTACTAGTTCAAACACTACACTTAGTACAATATGAATCATTAGATTTAATACTCGTGTGATTTGATTAAAGGAACATTCCTTTTGCTATATGTATTCATTCAAGCGTTTTCATGAAATTTTACAATAGAACAAAAATGATTGACTTGACTTTTTTACTAGTAAATTTAAACAAAGTTCAATACAGTTGAAGCTTTCATTGTTTAATGATTGAAGACAAAAAATATCTAACAACAAACCTTTCGTGTATTTTTAATCACTATTGAAAAAGTTGTATCGATCAAACGTGTTCGTGGTGATGGCGATTAAAAAAAACATCAAATCCATAACTTACGCACATTGCAGGACAAAGAACAACTGGTGATCTGCAAGCTAGCTTCACCTGGCATTGAGGAGCGTCCAGAGATTCAAATATTCACCGATGGATCCGGAGAACCAAATTCTATCGTCAAAGTAAAATCCTTCGCAGCCGTGCAAAAGGGCGACCTTGTCCCAAAGATCGTCAAGGCAAAGTACGACAACTACATCTGCATCACCGGTAGTGGTAGCGGGACTAAACCTACATACCTTCGCACAGATACAAGGTAAGCAAAAATAAAAATCAGGGAAAAGGTGAAATATATAACATATAATGTATGGTTCAAAGCAGTGAACAGTAGAAGTATACAATCTAGCACTTGCAGCGGTAATTCTGATTTGAAAAAGAAAATAGATTTATTTGGAAATTAGGATGAGAGATATGAGAAGTTACAGAAGTAGTGGTGATTGTCACGGTAGCAGAGCAATTAATTTGTCGATTCCCATAAGGAGCGTTTAAACAGAAGTATTTAAATTTTTTGTTTTGAAGGAAAATAATCAACAACCAGTATTGAATAATAAATCGTCATTCGCACCATGGATATTCAAGGTGTTCGAGACTGAAAATGATATAAAAAGAACATTTTTTCCAACCGTTCTACTGATTTACGCAGAGAGCAGAGGGACGAGTGGTGCATCCAACTACGGGCCTTGATGCCCAACAGAACCGCATCCAATTCCCAGCTGACTTCTCAACAGCCATCGCAGCCCTATCGAGAGAGAACACATACAGATGCTTCCTCCAACAAACCGTCCGTGTCTCGGACTCGGAAAGGAGCCCATATCACAGCACCTGGCAGCATGCAGGGGATTTTTCATGATGAGCTAGACAAAGTTTTTCAGGTTAGTCCTTCTGTCATTAAATCATGGAAGATGTCGACTGTTATAGGTGAGGATGCCTTCTGTCATAGGCAAGAACGTGAAAGGGAAGAAATATCTAAGGCCTAATGTCTTCGTTCTGTCGCATTGCATTAGATATGAAACCTTTGATTAACAAAAATGAAATGTATCTTCCTGATCTTCCCCATCCTTTAAAACAAGATAGGTATTCTTTTTCTTGTATATAGCTATTGTATTCCACACTATTCATTTTATTTAATTGATAAGTTTGGTTGTTGTTAGCTAAATCTGTTTAGTGTATATTTTCTCTTTTCATTATATCTTACAGAAGAGGGTCAATCCACAACAACCTATTGAGGAGACTGACGAAAGCCCAGTCTGCAGTGGACGTCATCACTTGGGGGCTGGCGCGTCACACGACGGTAAATAGCTCAGAAATGTGTAGAGAACAAAGTCATTGATATCGATGTGTTGTAGTCGAGTGGTTCGGTCACTTGACTAGAATACAAAGGTCGCGGGTTCGAGCGCTGCCAAGGAACTTATGTCCTTGAGCAATGTATCGTATCGACATTGTCCCTCTCCATCGAAGTGCTAAATGGGTACCCGGAAGGATGCGCAGGTCATCGTGATTAGATAACCCTGTGCACGCTCGTGAAAAGGCGACCAGCTGGACTGCTCTTCATGCAGAGAATGTGGAGAATGTGCACTGCAATATACTCAATTTAATATTAATCCAGTGACCGGGGTAATAATAATATTGTAAGCGCTAAATTGATTTAGTGTATGGTATGGCGCCGGTTTCCAGCATAGGTCCAACTAAATGTAACTATTGTCTTTTAGGATACACGGACATCTGGTATATTTTACCGGTGGTATATTTCACAAGTCTTATAGTTTTTTTTTGTTGATATTGTTATGGCACATAATAATAATAATATACAATTATTATTTGGTAATTTTTATTACCTCACACACAGCCCGCTGTCAAGATACAGACGAGAACGTTCACCATGCGGATGAATGTCCTATGCACCAGCAAACCTCCAGACAGGCCCTCCAAAAGACACAAGAACTGTACCAATATTTCCATCATACAAAGACGCTTCAGGTCAGTACCTTTTTCATTGTATCGTCAATTCATGTTAAGACATGTCAAGACATGTTACAAACGGTAGTAAACCAATAAGGGGTTGATAAATCGGCGGTTCCCCGCAATAAGGCCGTTACTGCCATTGTCAATATGTAGTTGCCTATGGCCTTCTTGCAGCTTGGGGACGGATTGAATCGACATACAGTTGTATTTTAAATTAGATAAAGTTTAGTGTAATCATATTGTATTGTGCTAATCGTACAATATGTGATGTCTTGGGTCCCGTCTTATAAAGAGTTGAGATTGATCCTAATCAATCGTAATTCCTCCAATCAAATGTAAGTTTGTAATCTCCTATCTCTCATGTACATAATATTGATTATAATCAACTCTTTATATTAAAGACGGGGCCATGTGTGCTTAGAAACAGGCCATCAGACTTAAATAGTGCAGACAGCAAACGCATTTAAAAATCAAGCTTTATTAAAGATTAAAGGTAATACACAGTTTTGGTATGGGGTCATGAATTGGGTTCAAATGAACATATTGGAAGCATATGCGATCCTACAATATTCAGTAATCGTTGTCGCGGTTGAAATCGAGTCTAAAGTTATGAAATTATAAATAATTAACTCTTTATGCTGTATAGCTCCCTCTCAAGGTCAAGATATTAATTAAGCTATAAAACAATGTTTCTTGACTAAAATCGGCCGACTAGCTATTCCCGTTTGGAAGTTATATATCATAACTACATATTCAGAGATTTTCATGGTCGCAGCTACTATTGTACGGACGTAGGCGCTATTTGAAATTTATCAAAATTTACCGGGAGCACCGGTAAATTTTTATATTCAATTCATCTCGAAAGCAGAAGTGTTTTAGATGTTACATTTTCTAGTGCTTATAATACATCAACAGGGGCATCCAAATATATCAAAATTGTAAAGAATCACTATCCACCCAATTTTCAAAATTTCCCAAAACTTTGTATTACCTTTATTGGAAAATGTATGAGAACACCCGGTAAAGTTAACACAATTACAATATCACCAATGGTCTTATCGAAATTCGTCTTCAGGAAAGGGCTGATCATTCAGAGAACGAGTACGAGATTCCAGAACGTCGCATAGATCCCTTGTCCGGATTCGATAACCGTCTCTCTGGCTGCAGTACTTCGTCTGAAGAATCCGAAGGAGGTGCTCTCAAGAATCTTCACATCTGTAAAGTACCAACAGAGAGCAGTTGGCCACCTAGTCCTACACCGTCAGATGAGTCAGAGCCCGAATGCTCAAATACATTTACGGGAGAAATGCCAGGAGGAAGACTTCTAGACATAAAGGAACCCGAGGCAGGTTTGTGCCTGGATGAAAATATCTATGAAAATACGTCCGTCATTCAGAGACGGCCCAGAACTGACTCTAGAACCACAACACCACCACGGTCAGCCGCTGTACGGAATGACGCTAAACCCCCTCTTCCACCGCGTAAAACAAGTATGTCGTCGTTAACGGCTAAGTCAGTCCCTCTGAAGCTACAGGAGAAAACTCCAGCCACGAAGATGGAAACAAAATGCAGGTAATAGCCAAAGGAGATGTGACAACAAGTGATTTAGTTATCAACTGAACATGAAATAATCACGTTGAGAATTTTGAACTTAATTTCTTCCGCACTAACATGGAAAAGGTATTTATGATTCAAACAAGCTTAAAATCTGTTACCAAAACAATACGGATAGATAGTCAAACAAGTCGTTACGTTTCGCAGGATATCGATAAGACATACTTTCATAAACGTGTTAAATATGTGAAGTCTAAAATCTTGGAGATGCTTCGTCACTTCCGATTTTTAATAAAAAATAATATTGCTTCCTTATCTAATTGATATAATTTAAAATTATTTTTAAATGAATAAAGAAGGATTTTTGTACATTGAATATTACGTTCGGAGAATTTCTGTAGTATAGTGCGCTTAAAGCAATATTATTCCTTATATACTTAATCAACATTACCATCAAATAATTAAGAAGTAGTGCAAAGTATTTTGTTTATTATGCATTAAAGGAAAATATAACAAAGATCGGTATCCGACTGTCTTAATTACATTAGAGGTTTCCAAGTATTATCACTTATCTAAATTCATCTAATTTCTTTTCAAAGGAAACTTAAAGGGGAGAAGCTATCGGGAACGGCTGTCGTAATTGTCGCCAAAACTACCCTCGTTCGGTACTTGTCTCAGCTACTGCTCAAGGAAACCAGTGACAGTATTTTGTGAGTACTTTTATAATCACTCTTTCATACCCATTTGTTGTTTCTCCTTTTTATTTTGTTTATAATGGTGGTGGTGATGGGGGAAATTACCTTTTGCCTTTCTCGCTTTTCTTGATTTCTCCCTTTCCCCTTTCAGTTTTATATCCTGTCTTTTCAGTTAAAAGAATTAGGCTTCTACGTCTTTCAACTGAAATACATTTTTTTCCGCACCCATATTACAGAGTTATGGATGTTCCTCGCGAACTCAAAGATTACTTCCGGGTAGGCGACCAGTGGTTGAAGGTTAATGATACTATGCTGAAAAACGTCCACTTTGCCCGAGACTGTGTTCGAATGTCAGACAAACCAGAGGTAATGTATTATGCTAAATCATTCAAATTTCTCTAGGATGAGGAAAATACAAATACAATATTACATATTGATACATCGTTCGTCAACACAATTACTTTTGATTATTGGACGTCTGAGAAATCGTGTCATAGATACTGACTCATTTGCCTAATACCTTTGAATGAATTTGGTGACATTATGCACTAATGGCACGAATTTCCGGCAGAAGTGTTATGCAATTTTGTAATTTTAATGAATGGATTTAATGTTATATCAATGCAAGAATCCTGTTAAATCTTTTAATTTAATTTCTCGAAAATTACCTAAAAGACACCAAAAAACAACATGGGATCGAAGAAGAACAAAATTGGATAGTCTAAGCAGAACTCGGCGAAGGTAACTTGCGGATCGATGCCCATCCAAAGGCCAAACGATATAAGGTAAAAAGTAACACAATGTTCTAATGTTGTTTTTTTCCCTCTTTTTCAGATCGAGATCACGCTAAAGAGAATCCCGTTTGGAACAATCTGTGACTTCCAATGGAATTCAGATAATGTTGACGACATAGGGTTGAAACTCCAAGGAAATGAGGTAAGATATGGCAGGACTATTGAGTCTGTTGGCTGAAACATTAGGCCAAATAAAATAAATTCCTTATTTATCTTCCATCACTCCCCCTCTTGTAAATCTTATCCTTGTCTCTTTCTTTTTAATTCGATGTTTTTTTTTCTTTTTAATTACGTCAATAAGAATTTTGGGAAAATCTAGAAAATTGTTTGGAGCCAGTATACAAATGAAATCGAATATCAGCAACATCTACAAAACGTTAAAAGTAATGCGACGGTATATGTAGCTTATGTACATAACATATATCACCTATCAAATAAAATGAAAGCCCCTCCTCCTCAAGCACCAACCCCATTTATTCCATGATTATTATCATACAAATAGAAAAGGGGACTTTCCGACAGGCATAACAAGTCTCCAGAAAAAAAATGTATACTTGCTTTCAAGAATTTTACGGACAAAAGTTGTGATTGGTGAGACCCCTGCACATAGTCCACAGACAAATTAACCAACATTTGATGTCAAAAATCCTCGTTTCAGATTGAGCGTGTATCTCAAGACGGTCTGGCTCATCGCAGAGGATCTCTACAGTCTAACGATACGACTTGTCTGAACAGTGCGGGCTTGAGATGCAACTACGTCATCACTGAGGTCAACTTTGAGTGCGTCCACCCAGATGCAACTACGGAACAGGTAAGCAGATCCGGCAGAATCGTCTCCAGTTTACCATCGAGTAACCCCTATCAAAATATAAAAGAAGTGGAGGGTCATAAAGATATTTCGATGAAAGTTATATTGGGGAGTCATTTCTGGTTACGTACAAGATAATGTCAATTAATGAACAGGTGAGAAAACTAGAATAACCGCCATTTTTTGAAATAGCTAGAATTGTACCAGATCAATTAAAGGGAAAGTCCACCCCCAAAATAAGTTTGTTTCGATAGAGGCAGAATAATAAGAAAATTAGGTGAGTGAAAGTTTGAGCAAATTCTGAATGAAAATAAGAAAGTTATGAATTATTGAAGTTGTGATCAATCAAATACAAATTGGCAACTCTGTGACTTATTATACGAGCTCTCCTTCATTTGCTTTGTGCATAATATTCCATAAAATCATGTTTTCTTCGTTATTGATGACGGAATATATATTTGTTCCTTGCAGGGGGAGTATAGAAACATATTTGCAATTATTATATTTAGGGTGCATGTATGGTTGAAATTTTTCTTGAGGGAAAATGAAAATTTTAGATTTTTTTAGTACTGAGCAAATGGAAGTTGAGCTCGCATGATACGTCATAGAGTTGCCAATTTGTGTTTGATTGATCACAACTTCAAAAATCCTAACTTCCTTATTTTTAATCGGAATTTGCTCAAACTTTCACTGACTTGTTTCTCTCATTTTTCTACTCCTATTAAAACTAACTTAATTTCAGGGTGGACTTCCCCTTTAAGGGTTTTGGCGGCACAAAATTGTATACATATTTTTTCTGCGGTATATCGGTTCTTTAACGTCTGTTAACAAGGACATTAATCCACATTTGCCACTCTCCAGCCAAGTGTATATGGGTACCTGGCAATTGCTGGGGTGATGATAATTGTAAGGCCCCCATGCTGGCAGAACTGTTTTAATTCTGACGTGGCTGCCCCTGAGTAAATAAGACTCAATTGTCATTTTCATTATATCAATTAGTATTACTATTATCATAATCATTATTATTATCATGCCGTAAATTCGACAATCAGTATAGCTTAAGCTCAGAAAATGTGTGATATGTACATGTTTAAGATAAAATCCTTGGCTTCCCATACAGTTTCCCGTCATGAGGAAAGGTTTCTAAAATTCAAGGGGAAAATTCACATTACACATCAGGCCGTTCATTTATACTTTGCCGTTCTGAAAATAATTATACAGTAATGCACCGAATACCTTTCTGATGAAATATCTCATGAATATATGTAATATAATAGTAAATATCAACAAATCCCCAAACATTGAAATGGCATCGATGAAATCACTAAAATGCTGTCATCTATAACAATTCCCTGCAAACTTTTACAACCGCAATCAGTTTCTTCAATACTGTGCCTTATGTGAACTTCACCAGCCGGTGAAATGCCCCGTTATAACAATTATAATAATTCTTATTATGATTTGTTGATTGGTTTGTTTTCACCTGACTGCCAAAAAAGCATGTATATGGTTGTTAGTAAACAAACAGGGGACCGACGGCTTAAAGTCGTCTCTGATGGACTTGGTAATAAGGACAAATGCCTTACCAAGGTTACTAGCGCATCCGCTTACTTTGGAACCCAAGACCTCCCGATTACTAATTTACAGGTCTATAACTATGCCATCGCGCGTCCTGTTGAGGAAAGATTGTTAATTATTTCCCCTATCATTTGTAGGTATGGGAGATGATCAAGAAGGCAGAGGGCATTGTCATTCTCATCCTCCACCCCGTGGACTTCCGTACCGTTCAGAGGGGCTACGACATCGACGAAAATGACGTGTACCAAAACGTAGGTCGATCTAGCAACATGCGCAATGGAACCTTTTAGAGAAGTGCTATACAATAGCTTACAACCACGTAACATGACAAATATTGATCTAAGATCATTCACTTAAGACCCTCAAAGGAGCTACAGAGGGTCTAGAACAAGTGTGTACCAGAACAATCCCCAATTACACGAGAACATTATATCGTGATCCAGGCCATTAGCGTTATGCAATTTTAGAGGAGCTACAAATTGGCTGACAACAGCATGGTAATTATGAAAAGCTCCGAACTTAACAGGTCACTCAATGAACACGTTGATTCTAACTTCAGAGAAACTTCATCATGGATGCACAATGCGAATGCATGATTAAACATTTGGATCTTAGGTTATTCTTATCCAAAATGCTTCATTGAACTTTGAGGGAGCTACGAATGAGTTGAAAGGGGCATGTTGAATGGAAATTTACCAGGGCTACGACATGGACGCGCAACGCAGATGCATAATTGACCCATCGAAGCCTTTTTCATGCAACATGCTAAATAAAGCTTTACATGAGCTACAGACAAGCTGATGACTGCATTATACACGTATATCGCGTACAGATGATGACTGTTCAATGAATAAAACTCGAGAACCTTTTAGTTTTATCTTGGGACTAATTTACCGAACAGTCTTTATCAGACCATGGATTTTACTAGCTATGACTAGACGTGCATGTCTTGATCAATTGAGACCCGAATGAAAGAGACTCATATATTTCATAGAGATAGACAACTGATGGTTATTACCACATACTTGATATATTTCCCGTTCTCCAAAATGTCAAAAGGTCATAATAGTCGATTTGTTACACTCAAATATTAGCCTCAATGCACAGTAGCTATTAGAAGTTTAGAAAATCATAAAAATGAAATATACATGAATATATATATATATATATATATAATATATATAAGTAACGACATCATACATCTAAGAATTGGGCAGAAGATATTGTTTCTAAATCAATACTATTGTGAATTTCGGACTTCGAAAACATGCAGTCTCATTATTTGAAGGGAAAGTAAACAATAATTGTAGAAAAGAATATCTAAAATGAGGTAAACAAAAGATAATGTAATACCATCAAATTACAATTTGTTTACGGAGCATTGACCAACTGTTGCACTATAGCTTATAGGCTGAATAACTACTGTACATACATGTAACTGTATGTATTTACAGATGTATGCAAGTTATATGTTTTGCAATAGTATTTGATACAGGCCTAGGACTCAAACGTGTAAAATCCAAATGACTGAGGTTCTGAATATATTCATATACCAATGAAATATAAGCTTCGGGGGGGGGGGGGGTGGCAAGCTTCATCTTTAGAGAAAACCTAAATCGACTTAGCGATGTCCGACCAATAATGCAAATGTCTATAATTTGTACCTGATTCTTCTTTTATTCTGACATGAAGGCCTAAGTGCATTTTAAATCTTAAGATTTTGCTTAACTCAATAAACTCAATTTATGATGTGATAGATAGCAAATTTCGTTATAAACTTTAGTGATAAGCAATATGTGTTGTAGATATTAATTAAGTACATTATTCCACATCATTATTAATTACTACCTTGAGGTCGATCGACATAAATGCTACCCATCGGTACTATATATTTGTTTTAATGTAGAAATAATTAATGTATTTCTTAATGTATTGAAGTGGCATTCCTTGATTCTTGCCAGTTACTGATTTTCAACATCTAATGTATGTTAGTTCACCGTATGTAATGCATACATCTGTGTTGGATTCTAGATGGGCGATTCCAGGTGGGAGAAAAAAAAAACATTATGGCAACATTAAACTATAGAAACAATGGATGAACAAATTATTTTCTTAAGGCGAGTGGTACCAGATATTTTCTTTCTTCTTACATATGAACGCATACATTTTAATGTAAATTAATATTCATAGTTTTATATTTGAATGTGTGTACAATGTGTGTACAACATAGATATCAATTCATTTATTTATATTTATTTGTTTGTAAAAAATTATGATCACCCATTAGCCATTTTATCCTTGAGGGAGGGGGGGGGGCAAAAACTCGGAAATAAAGTTATATAGTTGGCTTAAAATATCTTATATATATATATATATATATATATATATATGAATGTATGTAATAATTATGCATATGTAAATAAGTGCATTTTCCTGTTTCTGTGTCAACGAAACGTATATTTGTGTATTTAATTTTAAAACGATGATGCGTTGCACAATAAAACTCATTATCTGTATATATATATTTGTTATTTCCGTATTTTGTTTAGACGCCTTGCATTTAGACTTAAGATCGATAGAAAGAAAACAGACAGTGACAGAGGGGATAAGGGAGAGGCAAAAAACAGCCATGATGACCCAAAGAGCAAGGGACGGTCTATGGAAGCAATACTATTATTAAAAGAATAGAGATGCTAAGCATGATGAGAGAAAGGAGCGAGAGAAGCAGAGATGTAGGGAGAGGTGGATCGTAACAACGGAAAATTAAAGATTACGGAATGTGTGAGTTGACACGGCGTTATTTTATTTTATTTTATTCATTTTTTTTTTGTATGAGCGCCCTTACAAATCTGCCGCAAGCTTTAAATGGTATTGCAAATGTGCCACAGTCATACACAAGTTTTGCTTTCGTTCCGACGACTTTTCGTGACATCTTATTTCAGTTGAAATAAAATCGATAGGGCCTCTATTTCAAACTCAAATTAATTGGACAGAAAATAATATTCCACATTTAACCGTTCTCAAAGTTACCTAATGATGAATTAATAATTCTTTGAATGTGTGAAGAAAGTTTTTAAAGCTATTTCTTATCAGTCAAACTAAATTCAAACTATTTTTTAACTTCAAGATAGGAAAAAGAGAAATGTGTATACCCGTTGTTATACATGTATGCGTAGGGGTAGGGGTTGACTCCGGTCGCAAACTTGTAAGAAATGGAGTTTCTAAATAAGGCGAGCGAACAAAATATGTAACGCCTTATTCATAATCATTGTGAAAAAAGTGTAAAAGAACTAAACGCCTCTTTGATCATAATAGGTGACGGTTCCCCCTCCCCCTGCTCCCTCCTCATAACTTATGACTTATGTAGTGGCATGTCCGCCTTTGAAATTCGATTTATTCTACAGAAAGGAAGATATTCATAATTGCAAATGAAAACAGTTAAAATACGATGAAATTTTAAGGGGCGAGAACAAAGTCTATTATGTTCTCACTTCGACACTATGATTAACAACAGAGAGAGAGAGAAAAAAAGTTCTTCGCAGGGGCATTGGCTCACATTAGTTTTCATAGAAGGGACCAAAATGAAATTTAATTCTGCAGAGATGAGGAGGGAAAGAACAGGGTTCTTTTTTAATGCCATTCTAATAATTTCAAAGAATTTCTATTTGGAACACATAAAATGATACAGGTTGTTTAATGTACAATACTGTCATCTTTGAGAAGTTCATGCAACAAGAAGAAATAAAGGACTAAGAGACATTGGGGGGAAAACCCTACTTCATGATAAACATAGTACCCAGTGCAAAGTGTGTGCAAATATTCACATACTGAATCATATTTATTGACAATGACGAACGTTCGGAGAAAATAAATCTTCGGATAAACGAGTAGCCACCGAATTCAAATAAATGTCTTTTTTTTAATGTTTATATGTCACATGAGTTTCATAATTTGTCATAATTTTTAAGTCACTAGATTTTGTTTGTTTTATCAAAACTGTACCATAGCATTATCACCACGTTTGTCTCATTGGCTCAGCGTAAGTCAATAAGAGGACAACTTGTACGGGGGGGGGGGAGCACTGTTAACACTCAGTAAACTTGTAAATGACCAAGACATAGATCATGTTTACTAGGATATGGCATTTGGGAAGGTCCTAGAGTCTTCTTCTCCCGTTTACCCCACTCTCTATCTAAACATTTCGCCATTTGAGGGGGTGCGCTGTCCCCCCCCCCCCAACCTAGCTACTCCACGGGACATAATGTGTCCAAAAAAACTTTGGAATATTAGTGGTTATTATATTTTCAATGATGGGACCAAAAATAACAACAACATTATAGCGAGAGTGAGAATTCCGATAAAGATCAAATATAACCTCTTGATACCATTCACTATTAGGCCTAAAATAAAAACGTGTTGTATTGCCCTTTGGGTGCCAAAACATGGGTCGGTTGGTCGGATTTTTTTTTTGTCGCCCTCTTTGGGCCGATATTTTTCAGATTTGAATGTTTTTGTTTTTGTTTTCGTTTTTTCCCGCCCTCTTTTGGCTGATATTTCTCAGTTTTTAATGCTTTAATGCATGTGTTTCAGCGTCACCATTCCATTTATATCTATTTCACCTCATAATTATCCATGGTTTGAATTTTGGAATAATTTGATTTTATGCATTTATATCCCATTTAAACAAACAAAATACATATTTTTTTATTCATTAATTTAAAAAAATCTAAAAAACGGTAAAAAAAAAAAAATAAAAAATAAATTAAAAGCCGACCGTAGATTTTCAGAGTTTGGGGTCGGTCGCAAAGAGCAATACAACAAGTTTTTTTTTTTTTAGGCCTTATCCCTATCAATAATAATAATAGTAATAAGCGCATTAATATAGCGCTGCTACTAAATACATGTACAAACGATCACATTATTACCCCGGCTGTAACTGAGCCGCCATAATAAGGCACTAAAGCAATTAAGAAATGCCTTATTACCGGGTAACCATTTACTTCACCTGGGTGGAGATGGGCAAATGTAGATTTATATTTTGTCAAAATACATTTATTAAATGCCGCGGCGGGACTCGCACCGTGAACCGTGGGATTTGCAGCCCGGGGACGTATCCACTAGACTACGACAAATCAATACCATTTTATCTTGATCAATATTGTTGTTATCCATCCCACCCCTCTACGATTTGGCTGAATGCCAGACACAATAACAATATTCCCCCTTAGCCATTATCATATTATGTACACGATAAACTCTAGTTGACATCGATTTTATGACGTCAATTAGATAAAGCAATCTAAATCTGTGATTTCTTTAGTGTTTACACTTAAACAAAGTCCCTAGATTGGTGTGGCATTTAATGATGCCTAAATCATTTATCGTATACAGTTAATCAGTTACATAATCTACCGTATTTACATGATCAGAAACCATTATTCATCGAGCCACCTCGATCACGTGTGATAATGCTCAATGATACATTGTTCTTCTTTACTGGGTGTTCTCCCCATCAGCGAATCGCAGAAAGGTGGGGGCGTCAAATCTGTCGTATAGTACACAAAGTGAACAAAAGTGCAGTAATAACTATTTGTGTGTGCCTCCGGGATTATGGAGTTAAAAAGCAGCTGAAAAATCGTAAATCTATAGGTCGTACATCTAAGGTATTGGGCCCTGTCGCCCCCCCCCCCCCCCACTGCATAAAGCCACCAGTATAATGGCGCGTACCAGAGATTATGCTGGATGAATTGTTTATTCGCATCATGGAGTTTACCACGATTTTGATTTCGAAGCGTTCCGTACGAGGTGAAAAATAGTGGTGCCATTTGGGCCGCCTTTCTGTTCGTATTCATTTTAATTCGCTCTGTATTTATCCATACCTATCTCCTCCCCCCCCCCATATTCACCATCAAAACCACCAACTAAACCGCCACCATCCACCATATCCCACCACCCCCCCCCCCCCCCCCCACACACACACACATTGTCCAACCAAGCTCGCGAAATCTCCACAGACCGCGGGCTCCTATAAATACCACCACCACAAGCAGCTCAACCACCACCATCATGGACCTCCTCGCGACATCTCCACCGACCGCACGCTCCTAGCCACCACCACCACCAGCCTTACCCACGCACCCCTAATGTACACACATTGCCATACCCTCCTCGCGACTTCTCCACTAGTCCAGAATCTGGCCTATTTAATTTTGATCTCCACCACACCAACGCTTTTTTTTAATTTCATTTTTTTTCTTTCTAACGCTACCTCTCCCTACTTACTTGCTACCAGCCGATGATGGCGTGATCATTGAATTAAGACGCCAGGCTGCGCATATTTTGTTTACATAACTGTTTAGCCACTTCAGTCAAATATACTGTGCAAACGACTAGAGACAGAGTCTAGCATTACCCTTAGCAGTGTTACACAGTGTATACTCGTTAATTGTTTCGGGTTAAATCTATCCTCTCTTCTCTTTCATTATGTATTTCTGTGTTCTCCTTCAATCTATCCTCTTCTCTTTTGTCATGTATTTCTTTTTCTTCTTCAATCTATCCTTTTTCTCCTTCGTTACATATTTCTTTGTTTTTCCACAACCTATCCCCCAGTTCTCCTTCGTTATGTAATTCTTTTGTTCCCCTTCATTCTAACCTCTTCTCTTTTGTTTGATTTATTTCTTTGTTTCTCCTTTAATCTTTCCTTTTCTCCTTCGTCATCTATTTCTTTGTTTTAAAGCCCCCACTGCACTACTTATAGCTACTTGCGACCTCTATATAGCAAACATTGCCTAAGTGTTGACCGTTGATCTCCCATGATCCTCTTTTTCTTATGTTAATTGAGAGCTGATTTGATGAGATAACCACCTGTCAGTGACCATGCAGGTAGGTATCCCTCCTGACCAACGTCGTACAGACGGGCTTTAATCTGATAGATTTCCTTTCTCCATCTTTATGTATTTCCCTGTTTTTTATTTAGTCTATGATCCTCTTAGCTCTTCAATTATGTATTTTTATGTTCTTCCTTTGACTTATCCTCTTCTCTTTCCTTATGGATTTCCTTGTTTTTCCTTCTCAATATCCTCTCCACTATCCTTATTTTTCCCTTTCTATCTTTTCCCTTCCCTGGGTGTACGTGCTTGCACATATAGTGCGCTGACGACTTAGACTCTTTCACCAGAGCACTTCTTGAAATTTTGTCGCGAAAATGGGTAAACAGTTGTGTAAAAGATATATGCGCCGCCAGGCTGGGCTGGTGAGCATAATTATGAGTTTGTTGATAACGCCATCTTCGACGGCTTGAAAGTGTGTAGGGAGTTATAAAGGACCGGGCAGATTCTGGACTACTTCTCCACCGATCGCCAGCTCTTTTAGAATCATACTTGATTGGAATAATAACACCACCACCACCACCACCTTCCTCACACCCGCCCACTATTTCCGTGTTACTGTTTAGTGTGGTGCAACAAAATCCTATCGGGGAAACATTTCATTTTTGTCAGGATACAAAGAAAGAACTTTTTTTTTTTTTTTTTTTTTTTTTGGGGGGGGGGGTTGTTTCTTTTTTGTTTTTGTTTGTTTGCTTGTTGTTATTATGGTTTTAGGTATGTAACATCGATGGTGTAGTGTTTACTCAACTAAGCGATAAGGCACTAGTCGGGGCAATTGACGGTGTGCCCATAAACCTGCCGTGCTTATCACAATATTTTAAACAATCTGTAACCATCGTAAAAACTCATCTCTATAATTATAATTGCTTTAAACAACTATTAAATAAAAAATTGTTATGGAATATTTTGTGACATTACATAACCCTACCAAAGGATTGAAAACAAAAACTAAATAAGTTCATGAATGACGAAAGCCGTGATGTTGCCGTAAAATTAATGATCATGTTCAATCGACACTCTACCAGCATCAGACATGTCAAAGTCAAATAGTGAAATCCATCGAAATGCATATACACACTTCGTAAGAACAAATAAAGTGGAAAAAGAAAACCAATACTTTTTTTGACAGGAGTTGGCATGGCAATTACAAACACTTCTTCTGCTAGTTAACAATTATGCCGAATACGTCATCATTGAAACCCCCGAATTGATAAAAGCAGCTACGTCATGCGTGTAGGCCTGGGCCTGTAATCGTGCCGGGTCTTTCCCTTTTTACAAAATATCAGTTTGAGGAAGTTAAGTTGAAAAATAACTTGATCTTGGATTGCGAGCACTTTAGAGCTCATTTTTTTTTAAATATCCTGAAGTGAAGGCCTGTTTCGGGTTCATTGGTACACGGGAAGCAATTAGAAGGGTAGTACAGTGATGATTATTTAACAATCAGAAATTCACTCGGACTATCGTCGTGAGAGCAAGCTTCCAAACCAGTCTCATCGCCAGCTTGGCCAACTGTCGGATAGTATCTACCTAGGCAGTATGTCGGAGAAGGAGAGGTGAGACAAATAATGCAGCTACTTAGCTTATTGTTAACATGAGAAATATAATACCTTGTAAATGCAGACTTGAATTTTGAAGAGAGAGAGAGAGAGAGAGAAAGAGAAAGAGAGAGAGAGAGAAAAAGAGAAAGAGAAAGAGAGAGAGAGAGATAGAGAGAGATTGAACATGCAAATAAAACACAGAAGTTTATACTTAAAGATAAAGGTGAGTTCTGGTCATCCGATTGCATTGTGGACGAAAAGGTGTGGAATGAATCAGAAAAAGTTGATCATGTAGCATTATTTTAAGTATTGGTGTGTACTGCAAAGTTCTGGAGTCATTAAAATCATAATAAATTTGGCCCAGTCTCGGTAAAGTAACAAGCACTGTACACAGAAAGATGTATATGGGACTGCACAAATGGTGTTGGGGCTACTAACATTGATTTCCTAATCTGTCTATGCTCATTACTCAGCCAGTATACATTTTCTACCAAAATTGTTTGGCTAATGACATTTATTTGTAATCTTGAACAGTCAGTGTAAGTTTAATTTAATTCTGTAAGAATTTAAAAAAAAAATTTTTTTTACCAGAACTCAGTTTTATCTTTAAAACGAACTTCATGCTGATTAAACTTTAACACTCTGTATCAAAACACAAACGGAAACAAACAGAATTTTTTTCTCCCCCCCCCCCCCTCTCAAGAGTAATAACAGAGCTAATTTATTTTGTTGATGTGACGATATATGATTTATTTTTGCATGCCTGTAAGAGCTATTTTTTCATATGGGATAGCAAAGTATCTTTATATTTTACTATTTTCTATTGAGCTTAATCACACAAACATAATGGATATGTGATTATAATACTTGTACATGTACTTCTAAATTGTGGAATACCTTTGGGGAAAAAAAGAGATTCTAAAATTAACACTAATAATGTCTGCAAGAAATTCATCAAGGCGACTATAAACGTATATTTTTTGTTCCAAGTAAAGAAATACTACCATTCATAGGAAACGAAACAGTGGTAATATAACTTCCCAATGTTATACTGTCTGCATTCCTCCTTATGTACTTTATTGACTGTATCAAATGATTATGAATACCATTTGTGTAAAGCAGATACCACTCACATACATACGCACACACGCGAACACCCACATATATCATACTGGTACAAAGGTCACTGTATAGGTGTTTGGACGTATAATGTTATGATATTTATATTTCCTTTATTCACTCTTCCGAACAAAACTGTATTTACTTTGAAAGGTTTCACAATGATTGTTCGATGTGGGGGACCATGCAAAGCAGTGTATGTCAAGTTGATTAACAACGACATATTAAAGCTTATATCTAAGTGTATTCAACAAAGGCCCTAATTCAAGCAGTTCACTTTTCATTCTCGAGTTACATGTACGAAAAACACCAAAAACCATAACATTTATAGGGGGAATAATAATTAAGTTATAAGCTGGAAAGGTATTTAAATTGTGATGGATTTGGCAGTGGAATAAAATGAAAATGACATTATTTGTAACTTTTACACCAGATTGAAAGCTGAGCGGAATTGCCGTCTAGCCAACATAGTAATCATATCCTGGATGGCTCATCATTAATCTGTGTCGATCAGACCTCTGGAAATAAAAGATTATGTAATAAATCGAGGAGCAAATTGTGTGCAATAAAACAATTGTTTATAATAACATGTATGGACTTTCATTGTGACTCCATAATTAATATTATAACATCCAATGTGCCGATAATGATGTTCGACTTTTAATCTCTATCTCCAAATTAATATTTATGTTAATAGTAGTTGAATACTTGAGCAACTTGCAGTAGGAGAAGAATAAGATAATAATTATAATAATTGTAATAATAATTATAATGATAATGATATTGATACAAAAAGAAAACAAAAACAACAACAACAACAACAATGATAATAATAAGAACGAAAATGATAATGATACCATAATAAGAAGAAGAAGAAGAAGGAATATTGCTATTAAAAATAATAATAGTTATATTGGTACTGATGTTTGTTCATATAGCCTATATCGCATAACAAGATTGTAGGCTATAATCCCAATCAATAAAGATATTTATTAGTGCCATCGGGAAGAAATAGTATATAGTATCTGATCAAATAAGTCCGGCTTGCAATCAGAACACTTTTCTGTAAAAATCAAGGAGAAAGGTACCGACGACTAAAATGCAAAATGTTATACTGATTTATCGGATTACATTAATCTGTCAAGTAAGTCTCGTAATATTGGAACCATTACACCACCACCATCACAAATAATAATAGTAATAAAATAAAGACGCCTTTTGTCACTGTCGAATGTATCGTTATCACAAGGCATATGCAAAGGAAGGGGTGGCTATAATTAACTCAAACATTAAGTGAATCAAATGAAAGAAATACGCCCGAATCCCAAATATTTTACATTGTTGTGATATCATCATAATATCACAACTTCACTCAATCATTGACAGAATATTAAGTAAAGAATAATATTTCATAATGGTTGTTGTGATATTTTTTTAATGTGTTAACGATTTCTTTCGACAAATGAAAATCATGACTGCTCGCGTAATAGCTTTAGATGACACGCCTGACGTTTACGAAACAAAAGAATCGAAATCAAAACTACTTTATAACGTGGGAATATTTTATCAGACAATCAAACTTTTAGCACCCTCGATCTTAACGAGCTCTATATACGAGTCCAAAATCAAAAGTATCTTTGTAAAAATTGATCAGATAAATTTGCAGAACCATCTGCATTAATAGTCATCTCATATGACAGCAATTTCGCTTTAAAATCTTGTCATGTTGAACAAGTCAACACTATGTGGCAGCCTTCCTATCACCCCTTCTTTACTTTTCCGATTCCTGTTTTCCTCTTTACCTCGTTTTGGTGTACAAATACAAATTCTATTATCATATATTTCCTTTCTTTCTCTTTTTTAATACCCTTTCTCATGCTTAACTGCTCTCAAATGCCCCATAAGCGGGTTCGTTGACGAAAATATCAACAGCCTATTCAGGTAGGCTAACGCATATACCAAAAGCCTTCAATCGTGAGTTGGAGATTATTTAACCAGAAAATGTATTGTATAGTTTAGGATAATGACCGACTTTTTAAAGCAAACTATCATCGATAATTTACACTAAGGATATAAAACAACTTTTGTACTTGTTAGTCACAATTATATGAGAAGAGTGCGTGGGAGAATGAGTTTAGTTTCCTGAAGCTCTTCCATAGGAACAAAAAAAACTACTTAAATCACCGTAGAAAAAACTAAAGTAGGAGCTTTGTGTGCCATATCTTGAGATCAACAGGAAATTGATCGACAGACAATTACCTTGTGAAACTTCTGATATCTTGAAAAAACAGTTTTGATAACGACAGAAAACTAATGATCTTTTGTTTGGGTATTTCCAGTGCTGTAGCCCACAAGCTTGGGTAACTATTGATATCATTGTTTTGAGGATAATGAAGTTTTGATGATCATTATAACGAGTACCGGGAATCATGATGCAATATACATCTAGGGATGTTTGCAGGCCTGGGTGTTTGTTTTGTCATGAAAATATACATTGTTTATAATAAACTCAGTTTGAAAGCTTTTGAATGTATAAAAACCAAATTCAAAATTGGAACAAAACAAAACACAAAATTGTAAATCAATTTCATCATTCATCTTTAACTTTTTTTCTTTAAAATTGATCAACAGAGTGTTTTGATTACTTGACATGTGGATCCGCTACAGAGTGTTCTAAGTAAACATGTATTAATTTTGTAAAGGCATCTTAATTCAATAAATACTGGCACTTTTAGCTGAAATTTGCATGACAGGTGATGGGATCAGAGTTCATAATTGAATTGCAATAGCACATTTATTACGTTGCTTCGGATTATGTACAGATGTCTGTAATGAAATGGGATGTGATTGATTAAGCTTCAATAATAAGATGGTTTTCTAATTTTGACCAAAAAATTGTTTTCTAAATATACGATATGAAACATTTCCTCTTTTGTTAAAAATAGTCTATGGTTCCTCTTCGTTTAAGAATTGATTTTTCTGTGACTGTTTGGCACGAACGACATGTAAAAGGAGGCGCAGTATAATACACTAATAACTGGTACAACTTAATCAATTATTGGATAAATTCTAACCAATCTACATTACACTCAATATTGGGTCAATGTTTACAAACGAACTTGCATGTTCACTTTATACCTTTTAGGGGGGGGGGGAGCTTTACCAAAGCTTCTATTAGAATTAGCAATGCGATTATGATATCAACAGTCATGGCAAGTCTAGGGTGGCTGATAATTTTGAATCCCTTATGTTTCTAAGTGTAATAGATTGAAAAGTAAAGTACGATTGAAATATCATTTTCTTTTATAATATTTACTTTGATTAATGCTATACGGTTTTGCTATCAATCATATGATAGTATCATAATACATTAGACTTAGTCATCAGTATTGTACACCTTTACACCAGTTGTTTCCCCTTTTATGGCCCCCAAATCTGTTTCTTCTTCCTTTTTTCTGAAGAAATGTCCCGGAGCGGTACCTTTTACAAATATAAGTTTGAGTCAATAGACTTGATATAGAGTCCCATGACATGAGCTATTTTCCCACTTGAACATCCGAACGAACAATGCTGAATGAATGATAATGTAAACATTACACAACTGAATTTTGGGGACATTTCAGTTCACGTTTTCATTAATTACAACGAACAAGGTTTGACATTCCTCGCCTCATTAGCTCTCAGATTGTTTGAGTACTATTCAAACAACTGAAATAACGCGGGGTGTTTATCTTTGATTGTGCAATAATGATTACCCAATACGATACGATGAGAATATATATATATATATATATATATAAGACAAACATATTCTGCGACGGAGTAAAGTCTCAAGAGACTCACCGCAGAATTAAAAAAAAAAACACGCGGTTGACAATGTAAAGGTCTAACAAAGTTTCGCTCATAGGGCTTACAATATTCCGGTCAATGGAAATTTGTCAGAAATGACGATGTCATCGGGTTTTGTAATTTTATTGTGTGTTGATTTTATCTATATGGACATGCATATTCATCAATATCTGTTTATCAAATGTGAATGCTAACACTTGCAACTTGCATCCTTAACCGATCATAAAATGGAATGGACACCATGCAAGATACATGAGTGTCATTGGTTAGGAAATACTCTGATCTAGTTCAGAAGTTGTTGATATAATGTTCTTTAGCAAGGCATTAATCTATATTTGCCACTCCATACCCGGGAAAGAAACGGGGACTTGGTAGGATGACAAAAGCCTTAAGTTTGTGTTAGTAACTGCCATAAGCCTTCACGGTGACCATATGGTAGGAATCTAGATTCACGGAATATAAAGATTTAGAATCCCCCTCATCTCTTACAAACAGAATGTCTATGTTAGGACGAGTTTATTGTCACCTGTATTTCCCATATTCACATCAGGTTGCCATAAGGCATAGAAAAGCAATGACTTATCCTTTGAACTCATGATGCAATGATGACAACATTAGATTTATAAAAATTAATGAATGACAAAAACCGTGTTTTTATAAATCATTACATTTCGTCTACATATTTACGCTCTCTTAAATGCGGATTACTTGTTCTTTCTAAGCTGAATATTTGGGAGGGGGACCTTTGCTCATGTCTTCAGAGATTCGTAATAGCAGATCAGGTGAAGTATTTATAATTAATCTTAAAACGCATATGTTTAATTCGGCATAAAAAATGTATTGTTCTCTGTCAGTTTTGTTTGTTCTATCTTATTCAAGTTGCTCTTTAGTTAATTATACAGATGCTATTTCATCTTTTTGAAATAGTGCGCCTTGAGCGCTTACAAGTCTCATGATTATCATTATTATTATTATTATTATTGTTATCATCATTATCATCATCATAATATAATTTGTAAAAAACAGAAGTATTCCCATTAAAAAGCAGTATTGTATTGTTTCCTGAGACCCGTGGCCATTTGTAAGAGTATGATGTCACCGTGGTGTAATACTACATCATTTCCTTTTTTTTTCTCGAAGCAATAGAATGAAACGCCTGAACTCAAACATATTTCAAAATTTTAGAATCGACTGGTTTGGTACTGATACCTCGTCGGCTACCTGCAATCATACCGTTAATGCCATTGACAAACATAACTGTTACGGCCTTCTTGGAGGTAGGGACGACTTTATGGAACGTCGAACAAATTAAATACATGGAATGTTCTCTATATCAAGACACTTTTTATGTAAACAGAAATGGATTATATTCTGCCAGATAGTTTAATAATTGCAGATATTGAAGTAGTATCGAAATGTTTTATCTTTCAGAACCATGTCTGGGACAACAGAAACTCCTATGTTTTTGCACAAGGCAGGGTTCCTCAAGCGAACGGTAAGAGATGTCCAGGCGTCGTCAAATAGAATAAATCATTGCATTTTCTTTTCACATCAACAAAAGCTAAATATATTGATACCCTAAAAGAAAACTGGAGTTTATAAGCTAACTTTGATCCGAATCAGATGAAAATTATCTGTTCCTTGTTTTAACACAAAGTTAACAAAATTAGTAGGATTATTTTTCGAAAAAAAGACATGTCGAGTCATTTAATGTTATGGAGGTTTTATTGTAGACTACTGGGGGCTGTTTCTCGAAACGTTCATAAGTCTTTACTTCTTGGACATTCCATTAAAATGTGTAATATAGAATTATCACGCTCTTCTATGTGATGTCAACGAATTTAGACTTATGACGGTATCGAGAAAACTGGTGCCTGAATTTCAAGTAAACACTACCAAGAATGTGAGATTTAAATCTTGTTGATATACTATTTCGTTCACTACACTTTCTTCAAAATGAATCATCAAAATCAATATTAATGTGATTTGATTGAAGAAACATTCCTTTCGCTACGTCCTTTAATTGTAAACGTATATGTGATAGTTTACAATATAACAGGTGATTGACGTGACTTTTAATAGTCAAATAAAAATAAGTTGTAAAACTTAGAATGGTCGAAATTGTCAGCTATCCTTTGTTTAATGATTGAAGACATAAACACAACAAACCTTTCGTATTTTTAAAAATCACTATTGAAAAAATGATATCGATATAATGTGTGTGGTGATGATGATTAAAGCACACATCAAATGGATAATATATGCACATTACAGGACAAAGAACAACTGGTGATGTGCAAGCTAGTTCCACGTGACATCGGGGAGCGTCCAGAGATTCAAATATTCACCGATGGATCCGAAGAACCAACTTCTATCGTCAAAGTGAAGTCCTTCGCAGCCGTGCAAGAGCGTGACATTGTCCCGAAGATCGTCAAGGCAAAGTACGACAACTATATCTGCATCACCGGTAGTGGTAGCGGGGCTAAACCTACATATCTACGCACATATACAAGGTGAGCAAAAGAAAAATCAGTAAAAAGGCTAAATTGATAAGATATATATGGTTCAGAGCAGTAAACAGAAGAAGTATACTTTTTTTAAAAACAATCTAGCCCTTGCAGCAGCAATTCTGATTTTAAAAAGAAAAAAGATTTGTTTGAAAAGTATGACTAGTGATATGAGAAGTTACAGTAGTATAAGTGATTGTCACGGTGGCAGAGCAATTAGTTATTGATTTCCTTAAAGGGTGTTTAAAACAAAACTTGTTTAAGAAGAAGGATAAACACCCAATAATTAATTAATGAATAGAATAAAGAAATCAATCGTCATTCGCACCATGGATATCCGATGTGTTCGAGACTGAGAACGTCATAACGGAAAATTTTCCCCAACCGTTCTACTGATTTAACGCAGAGATCAGAGGGATGAGTGGTGCAGCCAACTACAGGCCTTGATATCCAGAAGAACCACACCCAATCAACAGCCATCGCAGCCCTATCGAGAGAGAACACGGACAGATGCTACCTCCAATAGATCGGCCGTGTCTCGGACTCGGAAAGGAGCCGCCATCACTGCCCCTGGCAACGTACAAGGGATTTTTCACGATGAGCTAGACAAAGTCGTTAAGGTTAGTCCCGTTGTTGAATTAAACGTCGACTGTTATAGATAAAGCTTTCTTCTATCATGGAAAGTGAGGGCATGTCTGAAATGTAATGTCTTTGAGCTATCGCCTGCAATAAACATGAAACCTTTGATTAAGAAAAACAACGAAATGTACATGTAATAATAATAATAATAATGGTGGCTTCTTATATAGCGCACATGTCTGTCATGTAGCTTCCTGCTCTTCCCGATCCTTTAAAAATAAGATAGGTATTCATTTTCTTGTATCTCTATTTTATTCCACTATTTATCTATTGATTTAATTGACATTTTTGGTTGTTGTTAGCGAAATCGGCTTAGTGTATAGTTTCTCTTTAAATTATATCTAATAGAAGAGGGTCAATCCACCAGAATCTATCAAGGAGACTGACGAGAGCCCAGTCTGCCGTGGACGTCCTCACTTGGAGGCCTGGACGTCACACCCCGGTAAATACCTCAAATAATATGCATGGTGAACGAATTCAGTGATATCGATGTGTCGAAGTCGAGTGGTTCATTCACGTGACTGGGAATGCAAAGGTCGTAGATCGAGCCCTGACTCGCCACTTTTGTCTTTAAGCGCAATATATTGTATTTAGATTGCTCCTCTTTACCGGGGTTCTTATTGGGTACCCGGAAGGATGCGAAGGTCAATGTGATTAGAAAAGTCTGCTCCCCAGACAGTGGAGAATGTGTACTGTAATCTACTGAATATAATATTAATCCAGTGACCAGGGTAATATCATTACTTTCAGCTCTAAATTGGTTGATGTAACTCTTAAAGCGCTTTTAAGAAACAATAATTATTAATATGATAAATGAGCCGGTGTCGCGCGTAGGTCCAAATAAATACATGAACATCTGGTATGTTTCACCAGTAGATGGTTATGTAGCCAAAACAACAAAGAAAATGACTCTGATCTCTAAATCAAGTCGTGTAGTTTTCAAATAATGTTTTTGTTAACATTGCTATAGCGCGTAATAATAGCAATATCCATTTATCATTTGGTCACTTTCATTACTCCACACACAGCCCGCCAGGAAGATACATACGAGAACGTTCCTCGTGTTCCTAATCCGAAGAATTGGCATAGACAGCAGCGAACATCCAAGCACAAGCAGGCCCTCAAAAAGACACAAGAACTGTACGAAGATTTTCATCAGACGGTAGTGCTTCAGGTCAGTACCTTATTCGTTATATTGTCAAAACTCTTGATGAGATTTGTGGGCCGTTCACCAACGGAGAAATATTGCATATGCCAGTAAACTAATAAGGGGTTAATAAATCGTCGGCTACCCGCAATAAGGCCGTTGCCATTTACAATATGTTATTGATACGGCCTTCTTGCGGGTAAGGAACGGATTGAAAAACGAAATTGTGTCTTAGACAGTGTCTAAATTGACATATTTTTTGGAATTGGATAAAGTTTAATGTAATCATGTGAATTGCATTGTGCTGATCGTACAGTGTGTGATCTCATGGGTCCCGTTTTATAAAGAGTTACGCTCGATCCAAATCATTCGCAAGTTCTCCAATCAATAGCAAGTTTGCAATCTCTCATGAACATAATTGCGATTGATATCAATCACAAATAAGTTGCGCTTAATATCACCTCTTTATAAGACAGGGTCCCATGTGGAAACACGCCATCAAATCTGAAACATTGTAGACAGCAAAGGCATTTTAAAACAAGAATATTCAAGTTCCATGAACAATTAATGTTTGAGGACCCACGGTAAAGGTAACAAAATCACAATATGAACAATGGTCTTATCGAATTTGTCTTTCAGGAAAAGCAGGAGAACGAGTACGAGACTCCAGATTTTCGCAGGGATCCCTTGCCGGAAAGTGATAACCGTCTCTCTGGCTGCAGTACTTCGTCCGAAGAGTCCGAATGTGGTGCTTCGGCCATGTCAGCTCCTCATAGTCTACACAGCTGTAAAGAACCAACAGAGAGTAGTTGGCCATCCAGTCCTGCATCGACTGATGATTCAGAGCCCGAATTCAGAAACCCCCCAAGCTCAAAAACATTGGAACCCAAGGCTGGCTTGTGCCTGGTTGAACCCGAGGTTGAACAGATCTATGAAAATTCGTCCGTCATTCAGATGACCACACGTACAACACCGCAACGATCAGCCTCTGTACGGAATGACGCCAAACCACATGTCCCTCCGCGTAAATTAAGTGTGCCGTCTTTATCGGCTAGGTTCGCCCCTCCAAAGCTACCTGAGAAAAATCCAGCCATGAAGATTGAAACGCAATGCAAGTAAGAGCCAAAGGAGATAAAGTTAGTTTCTTCACAATTTACATGGAAAATGTATTTTTGATACAAAGCAGCTGATAAGTCGATTTCTAGAAATAATACGGATATATAATGGAATTAGTTATTATGTACAGTTACTATTTTTAAAACTATATTTTGCAGGATATCGATAAGGCATATATCGTGAACGTGTTGGATATGTGAGGTCTAAAGCCTTGGAGATACTTCGTTACTTCCGATTAGAATGGAATTGAAATAATAATGGTGTTTCATTATTTTTCCACATATATAATTCGAGATTATTTTACAAATAAATTTTAAAAAAGGCATTTTGCATTCCCACTACTTCGTTCGAAAGTTTATGTTGTACATGCAGTGCGCAATATTTCTTCTCATGAACTTAATCAACTTTACCATCAATTAATATAAAACCCGAACAATGTATTTCGTATGTTGTGCATTAACGGAAAATATAACAACGATTGGAATCTAACTGGCTTAATTACATTGGAGGTTCCAAATAAATTACTCATCTAGTTTCATCTTATTTTTTTATTATAGGAAACTTAAAGGGGAGAAGCTATCAGGAACAGCAACAGTACGTATCGCCAAAACTATCATCGTTCGGTACTTGTCTATGCTGAATGAAACCAGAGACAGTATTTTGTAAGTACCTTTATTATTATTATTATATATATATATTTTTGGGGGGGGGGGGGCGGAGGGTGGCTGGTTGTAAGTGGGGGTCTAATTTTCAGTTTGTCTTTCTTTCTATTCTTGCTTTATTCCCCCCTCCCCTTTCAGTTTTATCTCTTGTCGTTTCTTTTAACAGAACTTTGCTTCTTCGTCTTTTAACTGAAATTTATTATTCCTTTTTTCTTCACCCATGACAGAGTTACGGATGTTCCTTGCGAACTCAAGGATTACTTCCGGGTAGGTGACCAGTGGTTGAAGGTCAATGATAATATGCTGAAAAACGTCCACTTTGCCCGAGACTGTGTTCGAATGTCAGACAAACCGGAGGTAATATATTATGCTAAATCATTCAACATTTGTTAAGGATGAGAACAAATATAAATGCAATATTTCATATTAATACATCAGTTAGATCATTCGTCAGCACGTTGAATCTTGGTTGAAGGACTTCTGAGAAAATGATACTGACTCATTTGCCTTATCTTTGAATGAATTTGGTGACACTAATTTCCGGCAGGATTGTTATGCAATTTTGTAATGTTAATGAATGAATTTCATGTAATATTCGTGCAAGAATCCTACATTTTATGAATCGAACTTCATATACATTGCATAAAGAAAATGACCTAAAAGACACAAATACAACATGGAATCGAACAAAATCAGAAGTCTAAGAAGAACTCGGTGAAGGAAACTTGCGAATCGATGACCTAAAAGACAAAAAAAAAAACATGGAATCGAAGAAGAAAAAAAAATCGAAAGTCTAAGCAGAACTCGGTGAAGGTAACTTGCGGATCGATGCCCTTCCAAGGGCGGAATGATATAAAGTCTAATGTAACAAAACGTTCTAATTTTTTCTCTTTTTCAGATCGAGATCACGCTAAAGAGAATCCCGTTTGGAACAATCTGTGACTTCCAATGGAATTCAGATAATGTTGACGACATAGGGTTGAAACTCCACGGAAACGAGGTAAGATAAGGCAGGACTATATTGCGTCTGTTGGCTGAAACATTAGGCCAAATGAAATAAATACCTAGTTCATCTAGCATCCCTCCAACTCCCGTATACCTCCTCCCATCTCATGATTTCAAATTTGGTGTGTGTTCTTTTACGCATCGGAAACAAAATGCTATTAACTGTCAAAGGGGTACCATTTCCTGAATCATTTCTGTAAGTGCCTTCATTTTAAACATTCAAAGCAACAACCAATTTCCTACAGGCAAGGCTGGTCTGCAGAGAAAAACTTTAGTCACAATTTTTAGAATTTCACCGACGTAAGTTGTGAATGATGATACCCCTGCAGAAAGTCCTCAGAGAAATTTACCAACATTTGATGTAAAAAAAAAAATCCTCATTTCAGATTGAGCGGGTATATCCAGAAGGTCTGGCTCATCGCAGAGGATCTCTACAGTCAAACGATACCACTTGTCTGAACAGTGCAGGCTTGAGATGCAACTACGTCATCACTGAGGTCAACTTTGACTGCGTCCAACCCAATGCATCTACAGAACAGGTAGGCAGATCTGACAGAATCGTCTCCACTTTACCATTGGTCACTCATATTAAAATATAAAAGAAGCGGAGGGTCATAAGGATGACAGGAATACTGGGGTGTTATTTCTGGTGACAAGACATTAATCCACATTTGCCACTCTTGTCTCTCCAACTGGTCCTGTCAATTGGTGGGATAGTGATAATTGTGGTGCCCCCATGCAGGCAGAACAGTATTAATTTCGACGTGGCTGCCCTGAGTCAATAAGAATCAACCATTTTTATTATTATTATCATTATCATTAAAATCTTTAGTATCATCATGCTGTAAATTCGACAATCAGTGTAGCTTAAGCTCAAGACAAATATTTACATGCTTAAGATAAAATCTTTGGCTTACCATATAGTTTACTCCACACACAGCCCGCCAGGAAGATACATACGAGAACGTTCCTTACCATCATGAGGATACGTTTCTAGAATTCTAGGAAAAGAATTTCATATCACACATTGGGTCGTTCATTCATTCGTTGCCGTTCTGAAAATAATTTTACAGTAGTGAACTGAATACCTTTCTGATGACACTAATTTTTTGCGTTCATGATTCTATAAAATTTAATAGTAAATAAAACATTTACAAAAATCACCAAACGTTGAAATGGCATCGATAAAATCACTGAAATGTAGCCATCTATAACAATTCCCTGGAAACTTTTACAACTGCAATCAGTGTCTTTAGGGATAGTGAGCACTAATTTTTTTGTGTGGCCCTCGAAAATTTTAAAAATTGCACCCCTCCTTGAGCGCCAGGGGGGGGGGCATAACAAAGCCATCCTGTGACCTGATGATGTAAGATTGTTAACTATTTCCCTCTTCCATTGATAGGTATGGGAGATGATCAAGAAGGCAGGCCGCATTGTCATTCTCATCCTCCACCCCGTGGACTTTCGTACCGTTCAGAGGGGCTACGACATCGACGAAAACGACATGTACGAAGAGGTGCGATCGTAGGTCATTCTAACAACATGCGCTATGGAACTTTAGAGAAGTGCTACAAAATGGCAGTTCTGGTCTAAGATCATTCACTAATGACCCGAAAGGAACTAAAGAGGGACTAGTCCAGAATCTGGGCTATTTAATTTTTGACTTTCACCTCACCAACGCGACCTCCCCCTACTAACTTGCTGCCAGCCGAAGATGGCGTGATCATTAAATTAGGACGCCCGCATGGCTTGGCTGGTGAGGTTATATGAGTTCGTTGATATCGCCATCTTCGGCGACTTGATTCAATTGTAGGGGATACGAAGAACCAGCAAGATTCTGGTCTACAGGGGGACTAGAACAAGAGTGCACCATAAAAATGCTTAACTACACCAAAATATTGTATCTTAAGTGATTCAGGCAATTTGCGTTATGGAATTTTTAGAGGAACTATAAAACGGCTGACAACATCGGATAAGAAAAGCTCTGAAATCAATAGGTCACTCAAAGAACACGCTGAATCTGACTTCAGAGGGACTACAACATTGATGCACATCTGCATTTTACGTCTTTCTTATCTAAAAATGTTTCATTAAACTTCGGGTGAGCTACAAAATAGCTGAAAGGGGCATGATATGGAAATGTGCATTATGGGTAATTAAATAAACACGCTGAATGGAAATTTAGCAGGGCTTTAACATGGAAGCGCAAGGCAATTGCAAAATCTACCCATCAAAGCCTCTTTCATGCAACATGCTATATGTTACGTAGTGACTATTCAATGAATAAAACTCGAGAACTTGTCATCTTGGGATTAATCACTGAACAGTCTTTATCAGACGGTTTCAGACCATGATTTTTACGAGCCTTGATCAGACGTGCTTGTCTCGATCCATCGAGACCCGAATGAAAAAAGACCCATGATCATATTACAAAGAGATAGACAGCTGACATTCTTGAGGATTAACTGATGGCAGATCAAGCGTCTCGAACACTGGCTCAAATCCAATTTCTTAACCCCTTCACCTTTTTAGTCTGTAAAACTGTATCCGGGCCTTCTACCATTTTTTTTTTAAAGTACCGTCGAACTCTCAAAGGTGCCACCGGACGTGAGCGCTCGCTCACACACAAGCCTGTGTAAGAGAAGTACGTCAGGGGAATGGTGAATTCGTGGGGTGATCGCACGTCTACCACAGGTCGTGTGATTATGAAAGGAGTTCGTGCATAGAGATTCATGCCCTCTTTTATTTCGACCTTCGAAAGCATGTTGATTTTTATGCAGTCTCAATATTTGAAGTGAAAGTTAAAAATTGTAAGAAAAAAAAAATGTAAATGAGGTAAAATATGGATAATCTCAACGATCAAATTACAACATTTTTTTACGAAGAATAAATGAAATGTTCCACTTTATAGCTTATGTTAAGTTTACCAACTACTGTAAATACATGTAAATGTATGTAAATATATACAGATGTGCACGTTATAATATGCATATTAACAACAAACAACTGAATACACGTGTATTTGCAATATTTCAATTAAGTATGTCTTTGTGACATTTTTGTTCATGTCGATCTTTTTCCACCATCATACATGCTATGTATACAATCATTTAAATCTACTACTAGATGAGTATAGGTCTATAGTTACGTACATAAAACATGTCGTACATAATGTAGTTCGGCTTCAAGACGAAGTTGAGTTCTGGTAACGCGATTTAATACTATCTGGAAGCAGAATTGTGAAATTATGTTGATTATGAAGTACATAAATATTGGCTATACTGTGAGATTTTGCGGTAATCAAAACGAAAAGAAACTTACAACATTTTGTTGCAACTCACATGCACTGCACACAGAAATGATTATATGGGACTACACATACAAAATTTGGTCCAAATATTCAAGCTAAATCTTAATATCAATTCAAATATAGAGCAGTTATTAGCAGGGGACCTTCCTTCCAAGATAGTCTTATATGAACTAACATAAGAAGAATGCGACAGCTCACATACATTCCATCTTCATCAGAACTCAAAGTTTTCTTCAAGATCATTAATAATACATTACACTGAAGTTAATTGATTGTTTCTCATCTAATCTATGCACCATGAAACTTGCAGCTAAGCAATATCTCGCTGCGATCTGACTGCGATCCGGTTTTATAAGAATTCGTAGTAGTATTTGAAATAGCACTCAAACATGTACATTCTTAATGACCGTGGTTCTAAATATTTATATGTCGATCCAATAAGATCTTTTGGGATTACAAACTACATTATAAGAGAAAAAGATAATTCTTGTTTGATTAAATTTCGATATATAACGACATTGCAATTTTTTTCAAAAATCGCGTCACAGTAGGGTCGTGTAGTGTGCTGTGGGCTAAAGATTTTACGTGAAACGTCTGTGCCAAACTTCAGCAAAAGCATAGCAAGGGTTAATTACAACAACTCAATTTAGGGTGTGAAAAAGATGGCATATATTTCGTTATTATTTAAGTGATAAGTAATATGTTTAATAGATATGAATTAAATAGATTATTACACATTATTATTACTTACTACCTGGAGAACGGTCCAGACACATGCTACCCATCAGTATTATATTCAACAAAATATATGGAAATAAGAAACGTCTTCCTCTAAGTACTGAAATGGCATTTCTTAATTCTTGCCATTCTTAATAGTAATTGTTATTCAATATCAAATGTATCTTGACAAGTGAACTTACCGTATGTAATGCAAACATCTGTGTTGGATTCTAGATCGGCGATTCCATGTGGGGATACAAACATTTTGGCAACATTAATATCCCTTCAACTATACAAATACTCGATGAAAAAATGATTTTCTTCAAGTGATACCATCGATTTGTTTTTCTTCTTCTTCCACATGGGTGGAATTAATTGGAAACGTATGATCGTGCGTCCTACAAAGATGTCCTATTTACGACATACTCCAAAATCGTAATTTATTTTTCTCTTAAATCGTAATCACTTCAAGAGACCGCCGATTCACCTTATTATATTTCATTCGATAATGCTTTAAGAATACCCTCAAACAAATTAATTCATGTTTGTTCACATGATTTTTGAGATTTTGCATACAAAATAAGATAACACGGAATTACCCAAAACCTGTAAGTTTTCGTAAAATATCGGTAAATTTCAAATCAAGCCTTTACCGTTTGATTTATATTTGAATTGCGATTGAAACCATGAAAGCAAACATTTGTTATGTAACTTAATATTCATATTGTTATATTTAATTGTGTGTATAATGTGTATATAACATACATATCAATTTATTTCTAAATATATATATGTATATATATAAATATATATTTGTAAAAATTATGATCACCTATATGGAATTTCATCCTTGACGGAGGGGGGGGGGGCGAAAATTTAGAAATAAAGTTACATAGCTGGTTTTGAATGTCTTCTTCAATATATATATATATATATATATATATATATATATATATTATATATAATGAATATGCACACGCAAATATATGCATTTTTCTGTTTCTGTGCCGGTGAATAAAACGTATATTTTTGTTTTTAATTTCCCAACAATGATGCATGGCACAATAAAGTGTACTCATTATCTATATATATATATTTGTTATGTTCGTATTTTGTTAAGACGCTCTGCCTTTAGAGTTACCATCGACGGAAAGAAAACAGACAGTGCAAAAGGGGGTGAGGGAGAGGCAAAAAAATACCATGGTGACAGAAACAGCAAAGGAGGGTCTATTAGAGCAATAATATTATGAATAAGAGCTAGATGCTGAGCTTGATGAGAGAAAGGAGCGAGAGAAGGAGAGATGTAGTGAGAGGTGGATCGGAAGAACGGAAAATTAAAGATTAAGGAATGTTTGAATTGACACGGTGTTATTTTTTTCGTAATGCATTTGGTTTTGTATAAGCAGGCTAATATATCTGCCGAAAGCTTGTAATGGTATTGCAAATGTGCCACAATCATATAAGTATTGATTTCGTTCCGAGGACTTTTCGTGAAATCTTTTTTCAGACAGATGAGTATGAATAGGGTCTCTATTTCAAACTCATATTAGACCTTTTTGGACAGATAATAATATTCCAAACTTGACGGTTCTAAAATTTACCCAATGCGGGATTAATGCTCTTTAAAAGGTGTGTGAACGTAAAGAAAGTTCAAAAGCTATTTCCTACCAGTCAACTAAATTCAAACTTTTTTTCCAACTTCAAGATAGAAAATATGAAACGTGCAAGCCCGTTGCCATAGGAATACGGATAGGGGTTTACTTCTCTAATGCAGTTTCTAAATTTGGGCGAGCGAGCAAAATTTTTGATCCGTTATTTCTTTTCATTGTGAAAATGTTTTTTTCGTCATAAGTATATAAGAACTGACCACCTCGTTCACCATTAGATGACGGTTTTTTTTTTATTTCGATATTTTTGGAGGGGGCTGCAGCCCCCTCCCCCTGCTCCCACCTAATGTAGTGGCATGTTCCCCTTTAAAATCCGATTTTCATTTCACGAATATGTAGATATTCACAACTGCGAATGGTTATCGAGTTCCATTATTACATCCTGGATAGGGGTTCGTTTCTGCCTTGCAATTTGTTTTCTCTCCTGAATGTGTGGTCTATTAACTGAAACACGTAGTAAACTTCCGTTCACTCTGAGAGCGGTTCTGTTTATAAAGGTTGTTTAAACTCGAGATATGTACAGGTGCTGTCGAACATGTGTTGCGATTACTTCCTATTGAGTCACTTGTCAGTACTATCCGTTTCCTTCGAAATGATGTGTGAAGAACATAAGCACCAGCGTTTTGCACATTACAAAACGGTACCCGCAGAAACCAAACAGAGCTTTGCTCAACCCTTGAAATTTGCTGGAAGTTCCAGTCAATGGGTGTATGAGATGGGTCGTCCTTTCCCTATTATGGACTTTCCGATGAAATAAACAAGGATGTGGAGTTGAAAACCTGAAAACAAGAGGAAAATGAAAGAAAGAATTCGTGGATGAAATTTACAAAGAATTGTACAAATCAGAATCATGTTAAGATGCTGTTATATGCCATATTTAGAATATTAAGGCGATTGAAGAGCCATTCTTTTCAGGGAACATTTTATTTCTGGTGTTCTGTCTCACTCGCATAATAACAATGATACCGCTCACAAGTTATTGTTTACATTTTCCCAGAACTCAACCTTCTCTTTAAATATATCTGCAAATGGTAAAAGAAATATTTCAGTAATAATTTTTTTTTTTAAAGGGCAAAGATATATTTGCAATAAACCGTTTAATTGCCCCCCCCCCCGCACACACATACGCACACACAAAAACAGACCATATCGCACGGTGTTCATGAAAAGGCATTTTGATAACTACTTGATTCAAAAATACTTCCTAGTATACACTCATTAAAGGCCTGTAATAGTTAGAAACATCGATTTTTTAAATTTCCTTCTTTAGTCTGGTGACGGGGACCCACAAAAATGTGATGTTTTACAAGGGGAAGAACGAATGGCTTGAAAAAACCACAGCAATCACGTCCGGCATTTTGATACCCCGACCCTCTTGTTAACTGGCATATTATGAATAATTTTTAAATGGTTTTGTAAATATGTTCATATATACCTTGTTATAACTTGACTGGCTTTTTACTGCATTCCACAATAGTTGTGGTGCATGCGAAAACTTTAACTGCTCAATCTGAAATTAAATGCGATTGGTATTACTAAATGGTTTTAGGTTCAAACGAATCACTTTTCATCATTGCACGTATTCGACAAACCTGATTCAGACATAAGGCCATAAACCTCCCCCCCCCCCCCAAACATAATTTTTAAAATTATTAGATGATTTTCTTACTACCATTGCCATATATTTAAGGCTCGTTCAAATATATGTTTTAACATGTGCATGTGTAGCAACTCTATGTGTCGTTTAAGTGACGACTAAAGGTGAAATGGAAAAAGACGATATCCACACTTTGCTAGTAACTAAACTGATATTCCCTTACAATTATTTTTTAAATCTATGCTGTCGCTGAAAATGTAAATTGTATTCGGTTAAACTTTGTGAAAAGGGCAAAACCCTTTCCATTGATGAGATCCGTATACATCTAGAGTAGACTTTCGCACGAAAGAATAGATGCAGTCAGTAGAGATCGGTATCTCGAACAATACTGACTGTTTGCGAGCTCCATTGCAGTCTTTTTCTGATCTGATACCTCTACGTGTCCAGCGATGCTGATTGGTTAAGAGTGTCTGCGTAGTCGTTTTTCTAATACTCTATCTTAAAGGGATATATATATATATATATATATATGTCGTTGATCTATCAGATAGTTTTTTGCTACATACAATCAAAAGTTGGCCTGTTATGTCACACTTGGAGGGCTCTGAGGCATAATACATTGTAGTTCATGGACACCAAGATGGCAGATTAATACATATCTTTAGCAAATTACATATTCAGAGTTACAATTTGTAGACAATTATTTCCCTTTTGTACGAGCGTGTATTTGACGATACGACGTAGAGAAGAAAAAAGTGTATAAGACATAACTAGACTTACCATTTATCATTACATGAAACTTTGCAATATTCTTCTTCTTTTTGTAATCTTCCAGGGCTATACAGCCGATCAAGAAGATGAACTAAATCGGTGACCATTGGTCCCCCATGATCCTCGTTTTCTTATGTCAATTGAGAGCTGAGCTGATGAGATAGCCACCTGTCAGTGACCACTCTGGGTGGTCTATTCCCTTCTTCCCAAACTGGTACAGACGGCCTTTAAGTTCTCTGGACTGTCAGCGTGCACTACATTTGTTGGAAGGCTGTTCGATTAGGGTATACATCGCTGGGCAAATGCCAACTTGTCTATGGCGCTTCCGGCTTGGTGCATCTGGAAGGTCATGTCATGGTTCTTCCATGTTAGCGGTTTATTGAAGGAAAATAATGCTTCCAAGGGAATGGCAGATAGACCATTAGCTATCTTGTGCATCACTGTAATGGCCACTGTAATGTGTAGATTAGCTCGGTCGCACTACTGGTTCTCTTGTAGTCTAAAATTTGCTAAAGGACTGCAGAAGATGCCTGGCATTTCGTAACAATTCCTAATCGTTGGTTGGCCTTCTTAGAAGTGGCTGAGATGTGGGAAGACCACTTGAAGTCATCTGAGGTCAGGACACCAAGTGTGAGATCTACTTTGATGTAGGGTGGTGGTGTGGAAGGTGTATTCTGAGTCACTCCCGGTAAGGGTAGAGCTAAATGCTGAAAGACATCAGCCATGGTAGTGCCCTCCTATGGTAGATCTTTGCACAATTCAAAGTTGAGTACTGAAGCAATTTGGGAAGGGTGCTTATGATAGTACATGGGAAATTATGTATACTGTGAGGTTTTCGAATCATCAAATTGAAATGACTTTGACAAAGTCATGATGAAAGCACATGAAAGCACAATAACTTGGTATAGACGTATGCTGAGAACCTTAAGAAAATGAGTAAAGTGCTTATTAAACCCTCACTAGTGTGATGAATAGATTAAACGCAATTTTGATACCCTCTCCGAAACCCACTCATATATATTTTTAACGTTGTTTGTATACTTACCACCAGTGATGATATCGAGGGACATTTTACATGCTGACCTAACGACTCTTCTGGAGCAAAATAGGCAACAAATTTACATAAAATTGTTCAGATATTCATTACGAAAATGTATGATTGGGCCGACTAATTTATACTTTTTGATAAATTAAGTCGTAGCACCAGATAAATGGCGAAGGGGAAATCGAGAGAAAACCGAGATCAGTCAGGTTCCCGATTTACGGCTAGTTTGATCGCCCACCGGGCTGGCTATGACTATATGGCAAGCCAGCTATCGTGCACAACTTGCAGGCAGGTTATATAGTACCGCAAAATTGGTAAAATCTGCTAGTTCTACTTCTAGGTCAAGATCTCCCAAATCTCCATTGTCGTTGTTATTGTCCGAGGTACTTCCTTCTTCTATCTCCTCAAAACTCAAATCAAGAAATTTTCGTCCATATCCATATTTCCTGGGGATTTTAATGAAGGTAAACTACGTCGGCTATGAATGAGTACAGCACTCAATGCAATACAAGTGATTTGCATACACACGAGCGGCCCATTGTTCATTCATTGACGTCACTGAAAATTCAGCTGTATACGATCGTTTTGGGGGTCTTGAGTGGGTTAATTTTCCGTAAATTTTAATCAACTTTTATAATGTTCGTGGTTTCTTGCCTGTCAATGACCATGCAGGGAGGTTTAATCCTTCCTGGCCAACTAGTGCACATGGGATTTAAGTAGATTAATTTTAATTTAAGGTGTTAAATACTACCTTTAAAACCAACTGTCATAGTTCTTTGACTGATTTACATGGCTAGGAAATTCGCAAGCAGCTGTGGACACGGATTACAAAAATCGCTCGAATTCACTCCGTAATGTTATTACTGTAATGTAATTTTGTTTAATTTAAATGGTAGGTATACAGTGGTGTTTTTAGAAATGGATATAGGCTACAGGAAGGGGGCAAAATGATGTTAATAGAGATGTAGCTCTAGGTAGTTTGGGAGTAAGCTCTCTATGTCGAAAAGAATTCCAGCAATTCCCCTCCCCCCCCCCCCGGGACAATTACCATCTGGAAAAGAAAAAAAAAGATTTACTTAACACCAACTTATTATCAGGGTGGACTTCCCCTTTAATGAACAGGGGTAATTTTTAGGAGGAAGGGGGGTAATTGTCCTACGGGGTAATTGTTCTTTGGGAGATATTTTTCCGGGGTTAATTGTCCGGGGGTAATAGTCCTGATACGAGAAAAACACAAACACACAAGAAATACTGATTCTTCGTGTAAGATCATTTTTTCTTGTAAGTGTATATATATATATATATATATATATACATAATATAAACATACATATCAGGGTTAGGGTAAGGGTTAGGGTTAGGGTTTTTATGATGTCCACTTAATGTACCATGTAGGGTTATATATATATGTTTATGTATATATAAATATATATGGAAGTGTCGTGGTCCAGTGGATTCACCATCGGATTTGGGACTTTAGGAAATAATTTGATTCCTAACTTATCTTGTACATAGTGATATGTACATATGTACTTATGTACACTAAATGTGTGTAATGGGAACCTGGTTAATGCGTTGACACTACGTGAAGAACATCTGAAGAGTGACAGCAGGATGTATATAAGATCACTTTTGACACCATGCGCTGTTTCCATTTTCGAGCCCCGTATATAAGGTCTGCTTTGCTTCAACATTTTTTCATATTGTTCATAGAATACCCGATTCGTTGATCCGTGCCCCCATCTACTTTCTGCGTCCTCTATGCTCGCTGGGTTATATTTTTAGAGTCAATTGTGCGATGTATCTTTTATCCGTGCTACGCGCGACTGACTCGACCGCACAGGATCGTCATCATATTTAAAGTAGAAGTGGTTCATTTGGCAGATCATACCCATGGGTTAAGTCCAGTCCCAAGGTTTTTCTTTACACATTAGGTGAGGTACAAAATGGATCGTTGCGACAGAAAGGAACATCTTCACGCATGTTTCATGTTCGTCCGTGTTTTAGAGTGATGAAGTGGTGATGCTTTGCGACAAATCTTCGAGCGAATTTTCCTGAAACTTACCGGTGGTTTATAAGACGATGTCTCGAATGTCGAGAAGAAGGCGTGGATACGACTAGTCCACTGACTTGACTGTTCTCTAGTTGTACGTCTTAGCGACACAATAATTGTACTAAAGCATTACGCACGTTTATGGACCTTGGGAGCTTCTAAGGGTAGAAGTAGGAGTTCACTGATAACACCATCTTCGGCGGCTTGAGGCAAGAGTAGAGAAAATTAAACAGACGAAATATTTAAGAACATGACAGATTCTGGACTACGCTCACACCAGCGCAGTCCGTTATTCAGCAACACTGTCCGTGCCTTTTACACGACATTGAATTTTTATTTTCACAAATTCATCATTATTAAAATTGGCACCGTTAAATCAGCCTCTTTCGTAAACCGAGATTTTACGTGATTCCGGCCGGGATCGACACACGGGTGTTATCTCATGGACCTCACGGAAAGAGATGCGTCAGTGTATTCACTTTCATGTGACAGGAAACATATATTACGGAATAATACCAGATTGACTGTGTCTCTCGTAAGATGAATCCCGAGTGGTGTAATATTGGTGCTTGTTATTTAGAAGGAAGAATATGATTTGATCCAGATCGTGAAATATGTAGACTATATCCCCCTGGAGCAACAGTCTACCTTGGCTGACGTTCGTGCATTCCAACAATTTTAGGATGTGATGAAGAGTTTGACCCTCATTATTGGAATAATCAGAGGTAAGCTTATAATTGGGGGCAGTCTAGAATTTAATGCCTCTTTTGTGTCTCATGTTTTTTTTTACCGTCGGGGAGATATATCTGTGAATGAATTGTCTATATTAAAAGCACATGAACATCATTTTCCAAATATTATTTTCCTTAAACCCTTTTTAATCGTTTTCAGTGATTATTAAATCAACCACTGAAAGCATTTCATATTGATAAGGTTTGCACGGGGATAATGGTACCCAAACAATGAGAAACAATGCCAATGTTTGAATTATAACTCTACCTGGTCTGTGATTAATTTCATCTCACTAAAAAAAGTATCGGTTCGCTCGTTTCATTCGCTTGCGGACCTTCCTCTTGATCAGTCAATTGCCCATAATATATAGACATGTATTTGTGTGCATCCCACTGCAAAGTGTGTGTTGTAAACCTAACAGTCAGACTTACCAGCCGATGTCTTGCAAAGGGCTCTCACACCAGATTGAGAAAAAAACATCCTGCCAAGTACCAGTCTCTCACCGCGTACTCCACCAAAGACATATACTCAAACTCCTTCGTGCTAACAACAGTAAGGCTTCGGAAAGCACTCACTGCAGGCGCCAGCACGCTCGATCAGTGGGCGTCTTCTTGCATAAAAGTCAAGTTGCGATGAAAACGCAAATATCATACCAACTTGCAATCAAACGCAACTGCGCATTGCCAAAAGAGAGTTGCGATCGAAATCGATTATATCTATCATAAAGTTGCGTTTGATCTGGAAAAGTTGGGCTTGAAAGTTGCGTTTGATTTTTATGACTTGCATTTGATTTTCAGAGTTGCATTTAAGGCCTTGGGTACACATCTTTGCTCTCTAGTTCCATGCTGGAGGCAGTTTTTACTTGGATTTTGTTCATACTTTGCACAAACGCCCACCAGCTTTACACGCACATGTTTCTTCACCTCAGCGTCATATCCAGAAGTAGACTTTGCTGAGTACCAGAGTAGATGTAGATGTAGATCATATATTTGGGGATAAGGCCCTTCATAAATGGCACAAGTTTGCTGACGGTCTCGAACACTTGTTATACCGCTGTCAGTCCCTTCGCTCTAAACCACTGTGATATTGCATATTCCCTTACAATCCAAAACCCAAATGACCAGACACCATTGTGTTCCGGCAACCCATTATTCAAAACAGCGCAATGTTCAGAAGCACAATGTTCAGAAAAACCTACGTTCCGTCTCCTGTATGTCCCGACACCCCTCTGTTTACCTATGGTCGACACCCATGTGCTCTCCACCTGTTCCGATATCCCTATATGTGTTCTAACACCCGACTTCAGACACCTCTGTGCTCTCACTCTCCGAAGATCCGACTCAGTATGTTCCAGTACCTATATGTTGTCCAATACCCAACATCATTGCAGGCATGCATCATTGTGTTCTAACGAACATCCCTCTTCTTGGTTAATCCCTCTACTGAACATAGGCTACATGAGGGCGAAGATAAGACTGCCAACAAGGAAAATTCCTCTCTAGGGCCATGCATTATGGTTCAAGGCATGCCCACATAGAAGATTTCTTTATTTTGGGGGTCGGGGCAAAATGCAATGAATTATTGAAAAATTATTGCATTTTCTTTGCTTTTTTGTTTTTGTGGGGGCGTCGACGTACCCTATCGCCCGCTGCGTACAGTCATGATTCATTGGCTAAACAGTGGCCTCGTTACTGTGAGCCACCAGGATCAAAACCGTGTCGATGTGCTATATTAGTGCCCTTTTATGACGTATTAATCCCCATTACTGTCAGTTATGACTTAAGGACGTAGGTTCCCTAGTTGATTAGCATTGTAGCACACATATGCTTTAGCAGTCACGCAAAACAAACACTCCCCAAATGTCATTCAATAAAATCTGAGAATATACAGGGCGTATCATAATAAAGGATATTGAAGTTTAATGACGATTTATATGAAAACTACTGATTTCATAATCAAGCACTTATGTCTGTTGTAAAGGACAGAATGTCCTCTTTTTAATAATACCCCAATCATACTTCTACTGTCACAGTTGACTGAATAACAAAGCATTGCTGTCCACCATGTGAAAGGTGCACCGTGACAAGTTAGCATTCACAGATAAATTCTAAAGATTAGTGCTTGTGTCAGCCCAGACATATTGAAATGCTGAACAATGAGTGGATTATGTGTCTAAGAAGGAAATGTTATCAAACTTGGCACAGTGCACCTTTCACATGGTGGACAGCAATGCTTTGTTATTCAGTCAACTGTGACAGTAGTAGTATGATCGGGGTGTCATTAAAAAGAGGACATTCTGTCCTTTACAACAGACATAAAATGCTTGATTATGAAATCAGTAGTTTTCATATAAATCGTCATTAAACTTCAATATCCTTTATTATGATACGCCCTGTATACTATTATCTAGATCTATAAGAAATAAATCGTTGTCAAAATCATTCAATAAATTTGGGGTAAAAATAATTTTCCACCATTATGACCAACGGTGTAGAATCCTCTAATGATTCTAATGGTCCTTAGGCAATAAAAGGTTGTGTTAACGCTCCTACTTCGGATTAAAAAAAATCTAAAACTAAAATTATGGTCCAATGATACAGTGGACAAGACTGAATTGGAATTATATAACAAAAAACAGTTAGAGAGAGAAGTGATAGTACGACGTACCAAACGAATATCAAGGATTGCCTATAAATTATGACAAACATATTAATTATTATTCAAAGGGCTTCAGCTAAACATCTTGACCATGTGATAATGCTGTCTTTCAATGAGCCCTTGTCATTTTATATACGTCTTAGAGTTGTCTCTTAGCTCTGTTGCACATATGATAAAGAAATTATATTTTCTTTCTCGTGAATACACTAATGAAGTTAACGTAAGGTCACCTCGTGATGAAGTAAATAGGCTAACTGCACAAAAGAGATTTCTTCGGTTGTTCTTTTTCCAGCGATTTCTGAATATTATCATTAATTAGAAACAGAACATCGAACTAATACACGATGATAGGGAATATACCATCACGTAGAAATTAGATGTGGGGAAACGACGCTAGATCGTTATAGTTCATTCTACGATGTTGTTAACCATTATCTATATGTCTGTGGACCGATAAAACCCATAAATATATTAAAGTAAATAAGTTTAATGATCTGAAAATCGACTTCATTGCTCTCCGCGTGGCTGGTATTGATTATTTTGCATATTATTCAAATATTCTTGTTTGTCACATTTTTTAAATGAGAGTGCCACTATCATCCATTGCCATTTTTTCGAATGCGAATTCTTTTACTGTGATTTACATTAATTTCTCCCACTACCTATAACGATTTTTCTTAAATGTTACCACCCTGTGGGGCCTATAACTCATGCACAATTACAAATTTCACAGTAGGCTCCTCTATAGTTATTTCACTCTTCTTTTATTCTTTTCAAATTACTCTATGCAAACAAATTGATAAGATATAATCACTCTCTGTTCTAGTCTCTGTCAATAAAATTGGGTTTGTTCGTACTATGCTGTGAACTCATTGTAAAATCAAACTGAATATAAACGATCGACTACTGACCAGAACAATGACGTGAATATACTGGCCGGGGGGAAGTAACAGGAATACCCAGTCAAGCCATTAGAGAGTAGTTCCACTGGGCCGCCAAAGCATGACAATAGCTAGTGTAATGGTTTACCTTGTGCTTTTGTCCTGGTCTATTCAACTGAAAATAGCTATCCTGGCCATCACGAAAATCATTATTACTGTAAAGCCGGATTACGTCCCTGTATCGAATTTGTAGTTTTGCTTTTGTATCTTTCGAGAGGCTATATGTCTTTCAAACGAAACGATGCTCTACTACACTCATACAATTTGTCGGCCCATGTCGCGGTATCTGGTGATTAATAACGATAGTAATAATGGATTAGAAACTGAATCGCATGGGATACTAAGAATTTCATAAAAAGGGTCAGATGGATCTTTATTACCATCGCGATTGTAGTAAGCACGATCAGACAAAGGTTAATTGTAGCATAAAATTCAACGAGTTTTAAAATTCCTGGGCGTTCGTAGGAGCTATTAACCATGTGTCAGACTTTATACCCGAAATACTTGATACTTCAGTCACATCGATGAGGCAGACATGGACCGCCATCGCACGGAACAAGAGTGATTTACATTCCGAGATCACGAACAATTTAGTTTTGTAGCATTTTTTATTGCATTCATTCAGTACAAATGAGAAATCATACATCTTCATTTTAATTGATATACATAACATACCAATGGCGAATTATGGGTCGGTTTGGTGTCGATCTGTCGGTGTGGCTGAGCATTGACCTATTACGGGCTGAGGTATAATCATGATGATAAGTCATCGTCACTTACTATATAAAGAAAATCAAACGTAACTTTAACTACCACCTACCAGAGTTGACGTTGGGGGGGGGGGGGGGGGGTCGTGTGTAATTGTAACTTCACATGCAAGAGCATTGGAGAAACGTAACATGCAAATTGGTCTATTAGTAGGGTCATTATGAAACTGCCAATCACATTGTGTGATATTGGTTAATCTCCCTTGATTCGATACTCTCTCGGGGCGAATATCCTTAGACAAGTTGTTTCGCCTAATTCTGTCCCTCTGATAATGAGGCTGCCGAGGGTAAAATATGATATTAGTATTAGTATTAGTAGTAGTAGTAGTAGTTGTAGTTGTAGTAGGAGTAGTAGTAGAAGTAGAAGTAGTAGTAGTAGTAGTAGTAGTAAAAGTAGTAGAAGTAAAAGTAGTATCGTAGTAGTAGAAGAAGAAGTAGTAGTAGTAGCTGTATATTTGTTATTATTATTTGTTATTATCATTAGTATAATTATCATTATTATTATATTATTATTTCATTACCATTATAATCTTTATTTATTATTACTACTTTTATTATTATTATCATATTGTTATTGATATTATTATTATCATCATTGTTGTTGTTGTCAATTGTAGGGCCTATTGT